ACTTTACATGCAATCATTAAATATGACTTTTTGTTTATAGCAAGTTCCTTCTGCTTACAGTAAACATCCCTGAGTAGGGTGTGCCTCTTAAGTAATTGTAGAAGGGGGTCTAAGGCAAACTTCCCAGAGAAAGATTTGAACTTCTATTTTGGACTGTGAATATTGCTTAGTGGGTAAGAGTATTTGCTGTGTAATGTATAAGCATGAGGCCCCGAGTTTAGATCCTTGCTACCTAAAGCTAGATGTGGTCATGTCCTTCCCTGTAACCCCAGCCTCCACACATGCACACACATGTTCATGTGCAGACACTCACATACAGCCCCAAACCCCAAAGCAACAGCAAACAAACAAAAAATCTTGCATCTTGTTTTTTTTTTTTTTTATTCTATGGTTCTGTGATGGATTATGACTTCTAAACATTTGTATCATATTTATTTTGTGTGTGCATGTGTATGTGTGTCCCTGTATTCCATAGTTATGTTTTGGAAGTTGCAGGGTAACTTGTGGGTTGATTCTCTCCTTCTACCATGTGGGGCTAGTGAAACTTGGCTTGTCAGGTTTGGTGGTAAGCTTGGCAGCAAGCATCTTTACACCCTGAGCCATCTCACTGGCCTTGTGAAATTTCAGTTTTAATATATAATATAAACCTGAACTAGATTGTTTCTTTTCAAGCATTAGGTTTTGCTATTCTGGTAGGTTTTGGGTTTCCATTGAGATTTTGGAATGATGGGACAAAAAAAGAAGCAAACATTAAGAGTGAGACAAACCGTGAAACTGCTTGCTTTTTAAACACAAAACATGGCCCTCCCTATATTCTGATGCTGAGCTGGAGTGGGATATTTTGTGTTTCATTTTTTACTCTTACTGGAGGCTCTTTGCACTTGGAAGGGCTTTGCCAGTTCAGAAGGGCAGTGTTGTAACCTAGAGAAGAGGAGAGGTGCTGTCGGGACAGGAAAGTCTGAAAGGTGCTTGTAGCTAAGTGTGCCAGAATCTTCCCCAGCATGAGTCTGTGCCTCCAGCTAATCCTGATCCCCATCCATTGCATCTCTCCTCTGCTGTGTGCAAAATGACAGACTCTAGGCAGATTCTAATTTCTGAGCCTGGTCTAACTCTAATTGGCCACACTCCTGCCCCCAGCCACTTCCCCCCTAGTGCATTGCCTTTATTTCCTTAACCTAATATCCCAGGGCCACTTCTACAGAAAGGAACCTTGGTTACCCCTATAGCCAGATGGGAACTGTGAGGCAAGCCATAATTTTGTTCCCAAATCACCATTGGGGGAGCCTTTGGGTGATTGTCTATGCATTCTGGGGAGACTCAAGTATCAGACCTGCCTAACAGAGAGATGGACCCCCCAGTCTGTGCTGTCACTGGGTGAATCCCTGAGGTCTGTGGGGTACAGGTGATACTCCTGTCTGAAAAAGCTGCTCACATGGGGTCTGTGTCCTTTATGGCGTACTCCTTGGTCTTACTTCTTATTGGTATTTATGATATAGTGTCTGGGGTTTAGAAACAAACAAACAAACAGACTCATATTCTTCATCATGAAAAGCTCCTGTAAGGATTTTTCTGGCGTCCTCGTGGCAGCAGGACACTCATAGTTACTCTCTGAGACTCACACTAAAGGATGTTTTAAAGTAGTCATTCTGTTTATGGCCTTTCCAGAACTTTCTAGAATCCACCTCCATTCCTACTTGATGCCAACTTCATGGGGGAAGTTTAGACATTCATTATTTGCCAGGGAAGTGTTTTTTCCAAACCTAGAGGGTGGGCACCAGATGGCCTGGTCATTAGCAAGTGGGTGGGGAGTAGTGACTCCATGGTCACTGGCACACTTTCCCCTCTCCTAGCCCCCCATGCCTGGCCCAGTGGAGGAGAGTGAGAACTGAGAGCCAGGAGGTACTTTGAAGTGCTTTTTAGTTTGTAGAGTTCAGGGCAGTGGTTCTCTCTCTCTCTCTCTCTCTCTCTCTCTCTCTCTCTCCCCTTTCTTTCTCCTTTATCTCTTTCTTCTTTTTATCTCCTTTTTCTTTCTCTCTTCTTTTTCTCTCTCTTCTTTCTCTCTCTTTTGGTTAGAGTTTTGGTAGAACTATTTATTATAACTTTAAACATAATAATAACATACAAGTGTACAAGGATAAATATCTGAGTTTCCAGTTGGGTATCTTACAACATTCAACTTGGCTTCCAAGGTCCCATCTCTGCAATATTAAGTGTGTTGCAAGGTATGCAGAGTGAGCTTTTCATCTCAGCTTCCCTTCCTCAGTTCTAGAGTTTCACTTTGGTTCATCCAGCTTTCAGTTTGGTAGTTAAGAGCCCCACCCCTTGGTTTTAGAGGTTACCCTCTGTCCCTCTTAGCATCTGCCTGAGATTGGCAGGCCTTGGCTGCTTATATACCACTTGTGAAATAGCCTTCTGAACTTGTACCAGTTTTGTCTAGTAGGAATGCACTGTGACTGAGGTGAAGGGACATTAAAAAGCAAGAAACAACTTGAATAGCACCTATCCAACTCTGCTTGTCAAGTTCTTAGATTTCAGTATATGGTCACTGGTGTGCGGTTATGCCACAGGCAGTGCTGGACCACAGGATTAGTAGCCCCAACTCTAGATGGGGGAGGATGCCTTTTGCAGCTTTCTCTTTACCCTGTAAAGTCTCATCGTAACCGACCAATCCTTTGGCCCTCATTAGTTTCTTTCTAGCTGCCAAGAGATTCATACACATTGTCCTTTGAAGTTGAATGTGATGAGTTATTGAGATAGTGTGTGTCTGATTTCCCAAGCTGAGTGTGTTCTCTTGACTCTAAATAGTGATGTGCAGCACACCTTCCAGAATATATCATGTGTCTGACACTTGTGTCAGGTCAGAGCTTCTGCCCTGTGTTTGAGATGATGTTAAGCCTGACTATCCAGATTTCATTTCTTAACAGCAGTTAGTCCATTTGGCTCCATTCCTTTCACACAGATCTTTCACCTGTGTGACCCATCCCCTCTTGATTCGCCACATGTCCCACTGGATGTACTGTGAAATGATTCTCACTTAAATGAAAACATCTATATCAGCACCAAGGAGGGCTGGCCAGGGAAAAAGCAGGGCCCACAGTAAAATCATAGGGGAGAAAGTGAATAAGAGGAGGGCATGGTTTGGAGACTGGAATGAAGCTGTGCTACTCTGGGAGCAGAAAGGCAAGCCAACCTCAATTTCCCCTTCTTCTGGAAAACTGAACCATAGCAAGAAGGACCTCATGACTTTGCTAGCTCTTCAGCTAAACAGTTCACTTTAGTGACCCAGATACATGTTGTAAAGTCTCTTTTTGAACCACAAACTGGAAGTGTTCTATAGGTCATTGACATCTGTTGAATCTGCTCAAAGTAATTAGATCCATAAGAGACAGTGAACATTTCAAGTCAGGACATTCTAGGAGAAATGACCTCTCATTACTCTGGCTTTGACTTGTCCCAGGACTGACAGCAGAATACTGCAACTGGGTGGCCCAACCAGATGTGCACAGCTGCGGGTGGAGGTCGGAATCCTAATCAGGGAGACCCCCCTCCCTCACCTCACTTGGCCTTTTCCTTCCCAGTAGACTTGTGACCTTCACTAGCTGGCCCCATTCTTGTATATCTATCTCCCTGTATCCCTTCTTACAAGGACACCAGTTGTGTCAAGTTGGGACTTACCTTTTAACTTGATCTCCCATGGAAAGACCTCATCTATACAGCCATACCCTGACACACTGGAGTTAGGATTTACATGTATGAATTCTGTGAAAACACAGTTCAACCTACAACAAAATCCCTATTGAAGTAGGAGGAAGGAATTTTAATTTTCTAAGATGCCCTATTACAGATGTGGGCTTCTGTTTATTACTCAGTGACATTCACATGTGTAAATTGAGGTTACTTGTGTGGTGTGTGTGTGTGTGTGTGTGTGTGTGTGTGTGAGAGAGAGAGAGAGAGAGAGAGAGAGAGAGAGAGAGAGAGAGCCTGCGTGCCATTGTGTATTTGTGGAACTTAGAGGACAGCTTGTGGGAGTCACTTCTCTCCCTCAGCCATGTGGGTCCCAGTGAACAAACCCTGGTTGTCAGAATTGGTGGTAAGTGCCTTTACCCTTGAGCCTTCTCACTAGCCTATACATTTACTTTTGAGCTCAAGCTAGAGATGAGCTTCCTGAGAGGGGTGAGACAAATGTCCACATATTGTCACTGCCTAGCTGCCTGAAGGCCTTTGGCCTGTCTCTATCCTTTGGGCTTGTGACACTGTGTGTGAGTGGTCCATATCTTCCCATACTTACACTGAGCTCAGCTCCTTCAGGTTCAGAGTCCTTCTTTTGCTTGACTAGCCCAGAGTCAGCTCTTTTGTGCTTTCTAATCCCTATGTGCTACTGCCTACACAGGTGCTCCTCCCCAGGGAGAATGAGAATCAGTTTTAACTCTTTAATATAAGCAGAACTCTGCTTCTATACTTGTTTGGAAATGGCAGTCTGCAGTCTGCGCACAGGATGACCCTCTTTCCCAATTGCCCCATCGAGAGACTTTGTGCTTTGAGACAGCGAAATTAAATTCATGGAGATAACACTGCCCTTCAGTTGTGTTTCAGCCCATGTCCTTGCTGGTGAATGCTAAAGTGTTTTTGTGTTCCCAGCAGGCATGGCATCTTGAATCTGTACAATCTACCTGTGTGTGTTATATGGAGACTTTCTGGGAGTAGAGAGTTCAGCAGGGTTGGCCAAGCTTGAAATGTGTAGGGCATTCATTCCTGTCACTTTTTAAGTTTTTATTTTATTTTTATTTTTTTTACCTACCCACACTTACTGGTTAAACAGATTTCTTGTGTGTAATATTGTTCCTTCACTCAGGAAAATATCCCTACAACGAGAGAGTTCACCCAAAAATGGGTGCCTATGTGATATAATTTTTAAAATGCCTTTTCATATTGAAGTCATTTGTTTAAGGGAGCTGCTGTGCATTTCCTACCATTAAAATGCATTTCCCATTTCTTCATAGGGATCTTCGGTTCAACAGAATCAGAGAGATCCAACCTGGGGCATTCAGGAGGCTGAGGAACTTGAACACACTGTAAGTCAGAACATTTAGTTGGTAGCCAGTGAGAGAAAAAAGAAAGATGGTTATACTATGTTCCCGTAGTTGGTTGTCAAGTGCTATGGCCATCCTTTTATTGCCACAGTTGGAGAGGATGAGTGAGAGAAACCAGCATAGTAGAGACCTACCTGCCCTTTGTGTGTAGATCAGCAAACTTGGGCTTCCTGTAGAACTCATATCTCCCTTTGCTGCCAGGGTTGGCCTCAGTGGATGCTTGCCTTCACTTCTCCCCTGTGTGGCTGAGGAAGGCTATCATCGGAGCTCGGTCTCGCTGTAGACATGGCTTTGGAACCACTGAGTTTTGCCACAGAGCTTTGATGCTAGGGGTGTAGAGAGTGCCTCATCCTGTGGAAGAATGGAAGAGACACGCATCCTGTTCATTTAGTGTGTTAAACTGGCCCTTAGTCCTGCCAGATCAGACTCTGAAAGGTGGTTGGCTAAAGTCACATACTCCTGTGTAAAGGAGAGAAGATCTGCTTCTTCAATATATATGACTGTGGCAGAAAGAGATAATCTGTTAGCCATAGTAATTCAAGCTGTTCCCCGAGCTGGGATTTAATGACTGCTAGCAGTAAGGTCTGTATTTCATTTTCTGACCCTTCCAAGGCTACAGAAATGGTTTTCCTTAGTATAATTTGGAAGCATTTTTGTTTTATAAATGTCTGTTGGCATTTTCTTCCATAGGCTTCTCAACAATAACCAGATCAAGAGGATTCCCAGCAGTGCATTTGAGGACCTGGAGAACCTAAAATACCTGTAAGTTATGTGGCAGCTTCCTATCCCACAAACACACACTGTCTGTCTTTAGAGCATTTTAACATAGGACCAAGGTTTGTCCCGTTTGTGAGTCACTATAAAAACAGCATCCGAGATGGTTTATTTTTAGGTGAGTGAAATTCTAAAACCTGTCATCATCTGTATAAAGTGATAGGTGAAGTGGATTGAGTGACGGTCACATATGTCCTGCCTTTAGCAGCTGTGGCCTGGGTACTGTGACTTTCCAGGGTGGGTGGGGCAGTGCACACAGCTTTCTTGGGCAGGCACAGCCTCCTGGGGTATATGCACAGAGAAGTACATTTTGTAGATACGAGGTTCCAGCTGCTTTTCCAACTGTAGGTGGATTATAACCATGAATTACTAATTTCTTTGGAGTGTCACTAATCCCTGGTAATGTTTTTATCTTCCTGATTTTGCTTTGTCTTATTTTATCTAGTTAAGTGGTTTTTTTATATTTGAATATTTACTTTTATGATTCGAAACATCTCTTGCTTGTTGAAGTCAGCTCTGAAGTTTAGAAAATCATCACTCTTTAAAAAACAGTGTTAAAAAGCCAGGAATGGTGCTTGTCATTCTAGGACTTGAGAAGTTGAGGCAAGAGGACCACCTGGAGTTTAAGGATAACCTGGGGTCACATGGGAATATCCTATCTTGTACTAGCTTAGCACCCTGTCCAGGCACTTATAAATGGGAAGGTTTGAGGAAAACATGGTGTTCCCATGGGTTGTGCCCAAAATGCCAACTTAGGACTTAGATGACTTCCAACATTGAGCCATTTTGTTAGTTATTTTTGTCCTGGAAATCCATACCCTATTCCATGCAAACACCTTTTATTTGAGCTGATTTTTAAAACCAAATAGTTGGGTTTTTGTTTTGGTTTTTTGGTTTTTTGTCTTTTTGTTTTTTTTTTTCAGTGTTGACGTGTACCGGAAGTCTGTTTTGATTTTTGATGTCAGTGGACCTCCCTGCACCCTTTACTGAAATATATTGTCCTCAGTGCAGGTGTTGTGTGTGAATCCTTCCCCAGCTTCTTTGACAAAGAAAGCTGGCTTTCGGTGCGACTCTTGAAGCCAGCCATGCCAGGCTTCTGCTCTCAAGCTTTGTTGTTGACCTCCTTGCTGCTGCTGTCCAAGTTCCACCAGAGATGTTTCATCTCCTGTAAAGTGGATGGAATCAGCTGATGCCAGCATGGCCGTGTGTGCATATGGATTTTTAACTGTTTTTGTGTTTCATTTTATTTTCCCTTCTGAGCAAACACTCAGTCTCAGGAAGTTTGGGGTACCGTTTTTCCACAGTCATACTTACTGGCCTTACCCTTTGACTGCTTCCCTTCCAAACAGCTCTGATCTGGCTTCTCCTCTCCCTCCCACAGCTTAGTGGGGGAGGGGTCAGGACAGCAGGTATCCATAGAGATGGGTCAAACTGGGAGATAGGCTGTTAGGACTGGATCCTAATGCTCCCCACAGCTTTGTGCAGGTCCGCACTGACTTTGTCCTCCAGTTCCCTGGGATCTCACTGGGAGAGCACTTGGATAATCACTATAATAATAGTACTTTAAGTGTTTAACATTATGTTTAAAATTTATTGATTATTATTATTTTTTTTTTTTTACCTTGGAGCATCCTTATTTCCTAGACCTCCATTACTTTTATTTAGGCACTGGGCATATACGTCATTTTATTATTTCCCGATGATGAGATGGGCACTTGAGACAGAGTTCACAGTACAAGGATCAGAAATGTGTAATAAGAAATTGCAACTAATTATTATTCAATTAGTTATTAGAACACCAACTCTTTTTTTTTTCTTAAGGAAATTCATTTTGTTCCAGTGTCTTTAATTTTATTTTTAAACACTATTTTGTGATACTGGGTATGGAATCCAGAGATTTGCCCCTCTACCTTTGAGCCATATCCCCAGCACCACCATCTTTTTTTCTTTTTAAGATTTATTTATTTATTATGTATACAGTGTTTTGCCTGCATGCCAGAAGAGAGCACCAGATCTTATTACAGATGGTTGTGAGCCACCATGTAATTGCTAGGAATTGAACTTAGGACCTCTGGAAGAACAGCCAGTGCTCCTAACCACCAAGCTCTCTCTCCAGGCCCATCAGTGTCTTTATAAACACGCATTCATATATATTAGTTGGACTTAATTATTTCACATACTCTTCAGAAGGACTCTGTCTCTGCATTAGTAGAAGGCACCATTATTTGGTATTTTGATTTAAGAAGTGGATACAGGAGGCAGTGGCAATTCAGGCCTAAGAAGTTCACATGTACCAGGCATTTTCTAAAAACCTTGTACATAATTATTTAATTCAGTGATTCTGTCCATTTAAGAAACTGGGATGCAGAAAGATTGAGTCTTTACTATAGGTAGATGGTTTCAAAGAGCCTGGAGGACCAATTTCTAACATGGCTTTTGTGGTAGGTGTTGGGCTATTGATGGTGACAGGCAGGTCCTGGATGGTTTGTGTTAAAGTTTGTGGTTCTTTGGGGGCCACTTTAGTGATTTTCACAGAGAGAAGATGAGAGACCCTTTAAGCAGGTCCAGTCCAATGAAGTAAGGTCTTACACAGGTAGCAATGACTGATAACAGATAACAGTGATTGATCTGATCCTGGACATGTCATACCACAAGAATTAAGGCAAAGAATGCTGTCTGTTTTCTTTTTCTTTTTTCTTACACATCTTTTTATTTGTTAGTTGCAGTCTATTCGTGTTTTTTTTTTTCAATTTTTATTTTTTTATGTTTATTAATGTTAGCGCAAAAAAGGGCTGTGTTTTATTATGACATCTTCTTACATACATATATGTCATTATGCTTTCTCATTTGTTCCCAGACTCCATTGCCCTAAGTGTGCCTCCTCTCCAGTTGGTTCCCTACTTCCCTCAACCCTGACTTATTATTATTATGATTTGTTATTACCTGTACTCATTACCCCCCTACTTCTACTTCCCACCTCCCTTAAGGTGTCCTTCTCTGCTCTCATGATAACCTTTCTAGTTTCATCATACAGCACACACACACACACACACACACACACACACACACACACACACACGCGCGCACGCGCGCACGCACGCACGCACGCGAGCTTACTGTATGGTCATGGAAACAGGTAGTAATACCATATGCTGAGCCATCAACTTGAAGTGTAAGTATCACCTGACAGGAAATTTGCCTTTGACGTATCCTCTGCCTGTGTTATGAATGAAGACAAGCCAGTTATAATAAAGGACATGGCAGATCCATGAATCCCAGAGGACAGGGGAACCATCTCTTACTCACAGTACCCTCCAGAGCCTTCAGGATAGCTGCTGAGGACTAGGTAATAAGGGGCAGTACAGGCCTAGCATGTCCACATGTTGAGATGTCACACTGAGGTCACCCCAGCACACATGGTTGGTGACTCCTTCTGGAACTCTGGCACTTCACAGTGGCAGTCCTCACCTATGCTGAGTCAGGTTTGGGTTTCTCTGTAGACGATCAAGAGTTTGTATTTGATCACTCTTCATGTAGCACAAAGGCAGACAAGGGAATCTATGGAAGAATTGTTGTATCATGCTCCCACAGACTGTTGAAGGACCCTGAGTTAGCACCATCATGCAATGTTCCTGTGCCATGAAATACTATTGTTTTAATTTGAATCATTTAAAAATGTAAAGACCTTCCTTAGATGTAGGCCATTCCAAAACAGACCCTATAGTACACATGGCTCTTGGGAAGGATTGCATTGACTTTATAAGAATGGGGCTCTGGGTGGGACAGAAATTTAAGACACATTCAGAACCCCTATTTTTTCCAGAGCTGTGCTGGTGTTTCTATTTAGTCAAATGTGCTGTGACAGTCAATGCCTTTTACACATGTAGGCAAATCATTTTATCTTCCCCAGGCTTTGAAGCAGATGTCAGGACTTCAGTAGACACAGTAGGAGAATCTGTGGACCACTGGTTTTTGATCCTTGAAGTTTTAAGAGAAGTGACTATTGAGAGTGGCCTGGTGTCTACAGTGTAATGTTTTGTTTGTACCCTCATGCAGTCGTTGATTTTAAACTGTTCTCCATGTGTCAGTTCGGTTCTTCCCACCTGGAGCTGAGAGCTCATGTGTGTGCTAATACTCCTCCGTGTTTCTTGTTTCAGCTATTTGTACAAGAATGAGATCCAGTCAATTGACAGGCAAGCATTTAAGGGACTTGCCTCTCTAGAGCAACTGTAAGTGTCCTTCATGCCATCTGCCTTATTGCCTCCCATAGGGAGAGATGACTGATTGCATGATGCATGTCTGTACTTCCTGGGGTGCAGGGAGGATGTGCATGACGAGGTGAAGCAGCAGTGGGTGTTTTTCACCCACCTCTCCCACCTTGCTCCCCTGCGCCCATCCGAGAGCAGACATTGCCATGTTTTTTCTGTGCATCAGACCCTGGCCCTGCCTGCGTCCACCATTGCAGGAACAGGAATGTAATTTGCTTTCCTGTCTAATAGTAAGAAATTTGGTGTTCACACAGCGGTGGAGACACAGACGTGTAAACAATCACGAGCTAGATTGGCTATTGTGGTAGGACTGTCTAGCACGGGACAGGATCTGTGTTCATAGCCATGTGTGGTTTCAATCATGTTGTCATTGTTTTGGAGAACACAAGCCTCACTACCCCCTTGTAGTTGTACTTAATGGGTGTTGAGTGTGCAAAGTGCCCTCTGTTTCTTTAGCCGCATATGAACTTGGAACTGTTATAACATCAGACTTTTTTTCCTCCTGCATAAAATTACAGAGAAGTTACGAAGGATTTTCTAGTATACGTGTCTGGCTAGTGACCTCTCACTCAGTAAGCTGAGGCAATCCTTGTGGGATTTCAGGCTATCTTGGGTTTGCAGTTTCATGGATTGAAAACAGCTGTTGGAGGTACTGCAGGAGTAGCCTTGCACTCTAGCCCTGTTCACTGGAAGACTGGTATGGCTGGGTCAGGGCAGCAGCAGGCAGGGCCATGTGCTGCAGTAGCCCACATGGTGTACCTATATCCACATAAAAGCTTAATTATTCAGTAGACAGGTCTAGGAGCCTAGGCAGGGGCATAAGCATATTCAGAAGAGGTTGTTTGTAAGACCTTGCATAAATTGCTTCAGAGAGATGAAACAAGGAATCCAGGTGATGGCAAAAACTGTTGGAAATACCTAGAGACTTTACAGATGTAGGAGTTTACAAAGGGACACATTGTTCTGTTTTTGCAAAGTTGTGGCGCTAACCTAGCAGTGAGTCCAGGGAAGGAGACCAGCCAGCAGGGAATAAAAAAGCAAGAGGACTTGAGTGCCTTCCATGAAGTAGCCAGTGAGGCTTTCTGGGGAGCAGTACCCTGAGTCACCCAGGATTTTAGAAAACCCTAGACTGGGAGAGACAGGTTGCTGCTGCTGGGGTATGGCTTTCTTTCTGAGAACTGAATGCTGTAGTGAGACTGGGGGACAAAGGACCCCTGGCAGGTGTGATCAGAGGAGCAGGTCAGTGTGTCAGAAAGGCCTCAGGCCTCAGGCCTCAGGCCTCAGGCTCTGTCTGATGTTTGTGACTGGGAAGAGAGTGCCTGCTGACTGCCTCAGACTCTTCCCTTACCTGCAGAAGGTGCAGGTCCTTACCACTCAGCAGGGACAGTGGGAAGCTGTGGAAGCCTGGGTAGGGAGCCCTGGGGCAGCAGTGGGATCTGCCTTGCATTTTCAAATAGCTCCTCAGGGAGCCCTTGTCATTCTCTCACTGGCCACACACTGGACCAGAGTTAATTGCTGACTCAGCAATGGTGCTGTGTTTACATGAGGAGTCACTCCCTGTCCTCCATTTTCTCAGCCATTCAGAGGAGAGTGATGGTGCCCAGAATCTACCTGGAGTCCCAGCAGTCCAGGTTTGCAAACTCTGAAAGCCACCATCCTTGGTACTTCTTAGGGCAGGATGTCTGAGGGCCCACCTGTTCTAACTCCACTGCAGGCTAAAGGACTTTGAACACAAACCATGCTATCTGCCCTTGTGGGAGTCTTGAATATTTTGCTTTTGTTCCCCCTTGTTCTTCCAGCTTAGCTCAGGACTCACAGGTTCATACAGAGAATCCCCAGCAGTTACCTAGTATTGATGGTTCCTGTGAGCCACAGGAGCTTGGGGACTATAAGGAATATGCATATTGGTCTCAGCTTCCTAGCACATACCAGGTTCACATAATGCGGACTGATGATTTCTCTTTGGTCCTGTCTCCTTGATTTTGTTTGGGTCAGTTGCTGTGCTGGAACAATCACTAACCCCGATGTCCTTTCTCTTTCTTTTGCAAACATATTGTCATATGGGGAGTGAGGGGCACATACCTGTACCTGAGGAGGACCAGGGAGGCCACGGTGCCTTGTGCCCAAGGAAGGACAGGTGGACAGTGGACTGTGGTCCTTAGAGTTTAGAAGGCTCTGGATTAGTTCTGCCTGGGGAGTTGCTAGGTAAAGAAGACCATCTGGGGACCCAGAAGTAACACTGATCTCACAGCTAATGAAAATGGGTTTGGAGAACTAGGCTTTATGTGGAATTGTGGTGAAGAAGGCTGCATGTTGACCCCACTGCTTGTTTCTGTCTCTGTCTCTTCACTGGACGGAAGCGTCTGTTACCATGGCCACCTGCATGAAGGCTTTTCCTTAGGCAAATGAAGTCTGGGTAAGAAGGGCGGCTGATGTTTTATTGAGCAAAGAAGTCCCACCATCTTTCAAAATAAGCAAACCAGCATTCAGGAGAATGAAATTAGTTATATCATAAATTAAAATTGTTTGAACTAAGGAGACATGTTAAGTAGGAAGGAGTATGAACACTGGATATTCTCTATGGCCAAGGGCCTTGGGGAAGTTCACTACCTCATATCATCTCCTGCCTGGGTGCCTGGTTCTGTAACTATAGTGTTCTTAATGTCACATGGAAGCATTGATAGTTTAGAGTGCAGGGATCCTGTGCACACCCATGGATGGGGCCCTGTCTGCTAGGTCGCTTTTGGTTCTTCCTTGTTACCTATCGCTGGGTATTTCATAAATTAATGTAAAGTGGCTGGGTCATAATCACAACCACTTGGGTTCATGGAGACCCAGAGCTTGCTAAGTCCTGTGATGTTTTCTGTGGGTCAACCAACTACAAAATAGCCTGCCTGCTCTCACTTGTGTCTTCTTGTCTCCACACACTGTGCAGAGCACAGAGTGGTACCTGGTGACATGTGGATGTGAATTGTGGAAGGAATTTTGGAGCCCGAAATCTGGGTTGAAAAGGTCGGTAAGTCATTCACATTGTGCTGTCTTTTTAATCCCCTAGGTACCTGCACTTCAATCAGATAGAAACTCTGGACCCAGAATCCTTCCAGCACCTCCCGAAGCTGGAGAGACTGTGAGTCCAGCTTCTTCCTTTCGTTTGTAGTCAGGCCCCCAGCTCCTACTGTCTGAATGATCAACATCTGCCTAATACTTCCCCAATGCTTTGCTGAATAATCCATTTCTTGGCCAATAATCAGAAGCTGGGCTCAGTATTCTGTGTCTGGTAATAAAGTAGGAAAGAAATCCAGTTATTTCTTGAACTGAAGCACAGAGCTATGAAACTAACTCATATTAAATAAATACAATTGATAAGACGTGTGACCCCCCCCACACACACACACCTTGGGCTCATTTTCACATGCTTAGGAAGTTTTGTTTTTGTTTTTTTTAATACAGCTTTGTTCTGTTTTCTCTTTCCACAGATTTTTGCATAACAACCGTATCACACACTTAGTTCCTGGGACATTCAGCCATTTGGAATCCATGAAACGACTGTAAGTGTGCATTCGGGTGTCTGTCTGCTGCCTGCAGTGTCTGTGGGACATCCTCTCTCCTAGTTCTTTCATTTGGATCTTTCTGTGGACTGGTCAAGAATCTCCAGCTTCAGAAAAGCCTAAAGAGACATCTATATATGAGGAAGGCAGGCCTGTCAAATCTATTTCAGTGTGAAGAGGCGAGCAGATGACTCACATGTGGCAGCAGGCTGGTCCTTTAATAAGGATTTAGAGACAGTTTTTAAAATTAGGCTTAAATTCCCCCAATAAAGTTTTAATTGCAAGGTACATATTTTACTGGTGAGGTGAGAGCCAGTCTGGAACCATCTTTATTGAGTATGCTTCTAGTTCCTCTCCTTGAAATTCATTTACCTGAACAAGCAGACTGATGCCTGCCCATTTTTTTTTAAGGCTTCCTGAAATAATCTTTGTGTAATTATTATTATAACAGAATCAAGGTATTTCACTGCTAATGGAGTTATTTAACAACCTTGTTGGTTATCCTGTGGTCTCAAGAGCACTTGCCCAGTTAAGATGTTACTGGAATATGTGGTGCCTATGATGAATTCCCATGCTCATGGGTCCTGCTTCCTCCCTGAGTAAGTTGTTACATTATTGTCCCATGAGACAAAGACTTTTTCTTCAGAAAAGAAATTATCAGGCAAGGTGAATCCACATTTGGGGTGGGAAGATAGGATGAAAACTCTTATCTTTGGTGGATAAGAGTGGGGAGGAAGATGTGGCCAGTAAATGTCAGGAGGGCCCAAGGCGAAGAATGGGGCAACCTATGGCCTGGCCTGCAGGTGGATTTCCCTATTTATAGTCTCAGAGAGACACACTGCTGTTTCGGAGGAATGCCAGCTCTTCTAACCTAGTACACTTCTTCTTTTGCTGGCTTTATATTGCTCAAACATGAACATCCTATATTTGGAGATAAAGGTTAAACCCATCATAGTTGGCCTTGCCCCTCAATGGCCTCACTGAAATGCCCTCTCCCAAGGAGCAGTCAAGATGGTGTGTAGCCTTCTCCAAGCTTACTCAGCTGGCTGGGATGGACTGGACAGGTGTGTCATGCTGAACTGCCTGTCCAGGCTCACCCACTGACCCCTTGGTCCTGTAGGCTCTTGCTATTCAGAAGTGGATTACAGACTGGGTGCCCCAGTAAACAATGGCTCTTATCCAACCCAGCGCCCATTTCTTACCCGAGCATGGGGTGCTGCATCTTGTTTGCCATATTTCTGCCAGGGGATGAGTTCTGGGTCCCTATCTCCTCTGAACTAATGCCCAGGACAAATGTAGATTAGGTGTGTGTCTTCCCCTGGAGTGCCTAGCTGTGGAGTGTGTACCTACTTAGTTCTGTTATGCAAAATTCAATCCCCTATTGGTCTTGTTCCCCAGCTTGTTTTTGTCCCCATTTATGTTACTCCTTGGGTGGGAATGGCTTGCCTCTTTACATCTGATACTCCTCAAGCTGTGCACCTCATGACCTATCAGGTGGCAAGTGTCCCCACCTGAACCCATGGCTACTCGTGAATGCCACAGAATGGAGCACCGTTGTGACCTGTCGCTGACTTGCAGCAAAGTCTGTGACTTGTCTAGCCCATACTTGCCATATTGTTTGTTGTTGTTTGTTTGTTTTTGCTGTGTTTGGATTGAACCTAGGGCCTCCAGCATGCTAGACAGATGTTCTACTATTAGGTTATATCCACAGCCCATTCCTGGGTTTGAAGCTAAGTATTTGGTCACTGGTTAACTTTACCTCTCTACCCAGAGCCTTCTCAGAGCTTTAGATGTTCAGGCTTCTCTGTGGATACTTAGCCACTGCCACCTCTCTCGGTCCTTCAGATTCTCTCCTATAAAAGCTAATTCCTTGGCCGGGCAGTGGTGGCACATGCCTTTAATCCTAGCACTTGGGCAGATCTCTGTGACAACAGTTTGAGACCAACCTGGTCTACAAGAGCTAGTTCCAGGACAGCCTCCAAAGCCACAGAGAAACCCTGTCTCGAAAAACAAACAAACAAACAAAAAAAGAAAAGAAAAAAGAAAAAAAGGTGCTAATTCTTTACATGATTAATGCCCAGATGCTCATCACCTTTGGCATCCCTTGAGGCTCCAGACCCTGGAGGTTGATCTATCCAGGATGGGTCAGTGTCTCCTTAACTCCTGGATATCGTCATGGCTTCTTATTTCCATAGGCGATTGGACTCAAATGCGCTTCACTGTGACTGTGAAATACTATGGTTGGCAGATCTGCTGAAGACATATGCCCAATCTGGGAATGCACAGGCAGCAGCCACCTGCGAGTATCCCAGGCGCATCCAAGGACGCTCAGTGGCTACCATCACTCCAGAAGAGCTAAACTGTGGTGAGTGGGTCCTGGAGTCACTGCTGAAGGACCAATATGACCCCAGGAGTTTTGGCTTATCCCCAGTTCATATTGCAAAGGGACTGGCTTGTCTTCTGTCATGGAAGGCTGAAGCACTGGAAAAGCAGTATGTTAATTTGCGGGGAGGGGGGTGTGCTGAGATGTGAATTTGGGCCTTGCAGTATCACTCAGCCATGAGGATTCTGATTTCGGTTCCCACCTGTGTGAGCCTCATGTTTTTCCATGGTGTTCATTCCTTGCATGTAGAACGGCCTCGGATCACATCAGAGCCACAGGATGCAGATGTCACATCGGGGAACACAGTGTACTTCACCTGCAGGGCTGAGGGCAACCCCAAACCTGAGATCATCTGGCTTCGAAATAAGTGAGTAGAAATGTCACTGAAGCCCTGAGGGACACAACGGGAACCCCATGTACTCCCATGGGGTTCCCCAACCCTGACGGATGATACCTTCCCCTTCTATGTAGTGAAATACCTCCCCTCTTCCACATAGCAGCTGCCTGGGAGACATTTTTGAGCCTGAGTTACTGGAAGAAGGGCTTTCTCCCCACTGGGACTCATTCCACCTAGGCCATAGGTCCCTTTCCCCTGGTCAGCCACTGACCTGGCAAACGTTCTAGAACTTTCTTGCCTCATCAAGTGGGAGCTGGGAAAGTGCTGTATGTCCATTTCTACTCGTTTGTTCTCTGGCCAGGGCCTCTGGTATTTGACAAGATGTTAGCAAGTTTTGGACCTGAGCCATGATGATGGACTTCCTGGGGTTGGAGCCAGCTGACATATTTCATCTTTTAGGCCAGAGTTTGGGGGCTATGATGTGTCTACACAGGCCCCCTTTGGCTTCTAGAGTCTTGTTCTGAGTAAACGATCTTTTCTTCATTCTACAAGCGTGGTTGTGACTGCCTCATACCTCACAGCAGTTGTTCATGGGTGGCAGAAGTGGTTGTCTGCTTGTTAGCACCCTGGCCCCTGGCCCAGCTGTAGCAGCATCCCTCCAGCTGGATCTGAGAGCTGGGTGTTGGGTTTAGCATGGGAGGGGAGTAGGCATAGAGAGCGGAGGAGAGGGACACACATGGGTAGGGCAGGCAGTGATGACCATGATGTGGGGGCAAAGACCTAGGTACCCCCTAGAATGAGGTCAAGGTGCCTGCGGATAGGACCCTTGTCTGTGGTGACATGAAGCATTTTTAAACTTTTATTTCCTTAGAGGAATATCCTGAACACAAAGCCATCATATAATTGCCTCTTATATCCATTTGTACCAAGAGGCATCTGCCCAGAGTGAGGATTGCTCTCATGGCCTGGCTCCCAGTGTGTTCTTGCCAAGCTCACTGGTTGTGTCTAGTCTTTTGGAAGCAGAGAGGCCTGCTTGAGAACAGAAGGTTCAGATGCTGTCAAGTCATCCTTGTTCCAGCAGAGACTCAGATTCCAGAGCAAACAGGAACTTCTCTTAAGTAAAGCTCTGTTTATAGACAGGAACAAATAGGAGAGTGACCACTCAACATTTGAGAGAGTTCAGGGGCACAGTGGAAAGATACAACAGAGTTATGAAGAGCTCAGGATTGTGCCAGGTCTTGAGTTGGTCACATTGATCTTGGGACCAAGCTGTATGGGGAAAAGTATGAGCTACATTCAACCCTTTACAACCCTCCATGTCATGGGTTGGGCCTGCTGAGAGTTAAAAATCCAGAGCCAACTACAAGAGGGATTCTAAAGTGTTAGAAGGTTGTACTAGACAGTGGAGGAACATCTATATGCCTCGAGACCTTCATACCTTTAGTTTATAAATGGAAGACTTGATGCCTAGGTTAAAACTACAAAAATAAATAGGGCAGACATTGAGTCAAAGTCCCAGGCCTGCTCTCTGGTGCCAGCTCTGCTTGTCACTCACTGAGGTTCCCTGGCATTCCCGTTTCTGATTTACATGCATCCAGGTGTTGCTGCCTTCCAAGTTTTGGTTTTTTTTTAATCTTTTTTTTCTTAGATTTTATTTATTTATTATGTATATAGTCTTCTGCCTACATGCCAACAGAGGGCACCAGATCTCATTCAAGGTGGTTGTGGGCCACCATGTGGTTGCTGGGAATTGAACTCAGGACCTCTGGAAGAACAGTCAACGCTCTTAACCACTGAGCCATCTCTCCAGCCCCATTTCTAAGTTTTATTTGCATTTTCCATTAGGTTAATGTCTTTCTTGTTTGGAATTTAGGACGACATTAAAGCATTTAGATGGAGTATGTAATAGTGAACACATATCTATATTCTCCTAGACATGCCCGCTAAGTCATAGTTGCTGAGGGGACATGTCTGGAAGGCTGTTGCTCTTGTTCTCTGAACCTGGCATGTGCTACCTGCATTCCAGGGCTTTAAAGCCCACTGCGGACTGACCTCTGGGAGGGAGGGGTACAGTATCTGCTTGATCTATGAGTGCACTGGTTTCTATCTCTGTAGTAATGAGCTGAGCATGAAGACAGATTCACGCTTAAACTTGCTGGATGATGGCACGCTGATGATCCAGAACACACAGGAGGCAGATGAGGGTGTCTACCAGTGCATGGCAAAAAATGTGGCTGGAGAGGCGAAAACACATGAAGTGACCCTCAGGTACTTGGGTTCTCCAGGTAAGTGGAGGATATTGCATGTGAGGGTTACCCTAACCACCCACTTTCTCCTTTCTTTGTATCCAACTCAGTGAAGTCTGAGATGGTAAAGTTTCCATGTGAAGTGGCTCACAGGATTTCTAAAGCATAGGGTCATAGGTCATTCTCACCTGCCTCAGGCCCCTGGCTGCCCCCTGCTGCAGGGTCATACACAGAAGCTCTGACTTACTATGGCAGGTAAGAAATGGCCATGGAACCTGGAGAGACTGTCCACACCTCACCGCAGGTACCTGCACAGCCCCATCAAATGCATGCTGCTTGGCATTGAGGCATCTGTTTGCCAAAGGCTTTGATTTTTTTTGACATAAAATTAAAATATTGATTTTTATTTAGCATATCTATGCTCAAGGTGCTCGCATATAATATTTAAAGTACAAAAAGTCTGTCCAAACCAGAGGAAATACAGCTGTGGCCTTTACATATCTCTGCTACACAGGCACAAGCCCTGTTCTGGTCTTCATGTTCTGTCCCTGGCCTGTGTTCATTGTTGACCCAGACACTGGAACACCATAATCCTGCAGTTCTCAACCTGTGGGTCACAACCTCTTCGAGGAATTTTGTTTTTTGGTTTTTTGTTGAGACAGGGTTTTTGTGTAGCTTCTCTGTAGCCTGTCTTGGAACTCACCAGGCTGATCTTGAACTCACAGAGATCTGCCTGTCTCTGCCTCCCAAGTGCTAGGATTAAAGGCATACACCACCACCACCACCAGGCTAAGAATTTTTTTTTTTTTTGTAGAAAAGCAACATAGAACATAATCTATTTACTAATCTACAATCTAGGATGATATACCACAATCTAGGTGCTAATGTCCACAAGGAAAGCTGTATATAGAGTCTCAATAGACTAGAAGTGCCTTTTGCTACTTAAGTCAAATTTTGCAAAACAGTTTTCTTTTTTTATACTTGTTTTTTGGAGTATATTTTGTTCCATGTTTATGGATAAGGGTTGTGGACCCATAAGAAACAGCACAGGGGCTAAAAAAATATCTGGACATATGTCATAATACAGACTTAGGAGATCATGTTGAGTTCCAACACAAGGATGAATACATGCAGCTTCCATTCTTATGTCCGTGGCTACCTCGCTCCAGGTAGGCTGTCTTGTCTGCTGTGGTTCCACTGTGTGTGAAAACCTTCCCATGAAACATACTATAAAATGTGTGGCTTCCTCCCACTAGATTTAGACTTGATGCTATTCTTTCATTTGCATTTTTCTTTTTGTGATGAAATTGGTATTTTTATATGGTTTAAATATACCCCGCAATTCCTTGTGCCAGTAGGGAATACCACAAAGTTTTAATCAGATAGTGTACTTATAATAAGCAAAAGTAAAGGTTCTTGAGAGAATTTAGAGTCTGTCTGGGGGAAGAAATGCATCCCTCCCCATAGTGGTCACTGTCCACAGGTTGCCTGCCTTTGGTTGACTTGGGTGTGGACACCATTTTATTTTCTGCACTTTCCCCCACCCCCATTGATCCATGTGTTCGTGTGTGATTGTGGGTACCCATATGCCATAGTGTAGAGATCAGAGGGCAACCTTGGCTGTTGATCCACGCATGCCTTGTGCCTTGTTTGAGACAAGGTCTCTTGTTGGACACCACTGTGGACAATAAACTACCTGGCCACTTATCTTTGACGATTCTCCTTCTGCCTCCCATCTCCCATTATGCCTGCTGGGATTACAGATTTTACAGCATCTGAGGTTGTGTGTGCTGAGGGTTTAAACTGAAGCTCCTTTGTTCACATGGCAAGTGTCTTGTTGCCTCCTGAGCCATTTCCTCAGCCCCATCTGCACATTTATTTGGGAAGGCAAAATAAAAAGAAATTATATCATTAAATGTTGTTAGTTGTGCTTGTTTTCATTTGAAAGCCATTAGGGTGAATGGACAGCCTGGACATCAAAAATACCAAATAGAAATCTTGAAAAATTGTAAGAAATTAATTGAGAATTTCTGTTTGTGACAGCCCGACCCACTTTTGTAATCCAGCCGCAGAACACTGAGGTACTGGTAGGCGAGAGTGTCACTTTGGAGTGCAGTGCCACAGGCCACCCTCTGCCACAGATCACCTGGACAAGAGGTGACCGGACACCCTTGCCAACTGACCCTCGAGTGACTATCACTCCCTCTGGAGGACTGTATATACAGAACGTCGAACAGAGTGACAGTGGGGAGTACACATGCTTTGCATCCAACAGTGTGGACAGCATCCATGCCACAGCCTTCATCATTGTACAAGGTGAACATCCTTGTGTGCCATCAGACTCTTGTCTTCATTTAGCTCCAACAGCCCTCCAGGCTTTGCCCTGACTGCACCATATCACCCCCTCTCTGTGGCACTTAACTTGCTTTTTCGCTTTTCTTCGCTTTTTGAGACAAGGTCTTTCCAGCCTAGCCTGGCCTTGAACTTTTATCCTCCTCTCAAGTGCTGGGATTAAGATATGAACCACCATGCCTAGCTATTTTGATATGTATTGTGTGCATGCTTATGTGAACATGCATATGTGTATTTGTATGTGGGTGGGTGTGCATCTATAAAACAGAGAACAATTTCAGGCACAGGTTTTTGAGGTTTAGGGTTGTTTTGTTTAAGACTGAGTTTCTCACTGCCCTGGAAAGTAGGCTAGGCTGGCTGGCCAGGAAGCTTAATGGATCCACCTCCCTAGCTCTATGCCCAACTTTGTTTTATGTGGCTTCTAGGGATTGAGCCACTTTTCCATCTCTGCCTTGCTTTTTAAAGATCTATAAACATCCATTCCATTTGACCTATCACACATGATTTGGCAGTTAGACAGCTTTCTCTAGGAGGATAGGACTTTGAGATTGCAATGTCAAGAGCACCCAGGTACTGGGATTACTGGGATCTGTGAATGTGGACATGAATACCTAGGCATTGAAAGTGACTCTCTCTCTCTCTCTCTCTCTCTCTCTCTCTCTCTCCCCCTCTCCCTCACCCTCTCCCTTTCTCCCTCCCTCCCTCCCTCCCTCCCTCTCCCTCCCTATCTCCCTCTTTCTTCTTGTGTGTGTGTGTGAGAGAGAGAGAGAGACAGAGACAGAGAGAGAGAGAGCGAGATGCAGACAGCTCTAAGTACACCCTGAGTTTACAGTGGTAGTGAGTCAGTATGTGCACCTTCCTTACAGTTTTGAATGTACTGACATTACAGTAGTATGTATACAGTATACACTGCCAAGGGCACTGTGGTCATGAGCCAGTGTGAACTCTTTGCATACAGCTGTGACTTTTCTTAGATTGCAATGCTATATGCACCTTGCACATAGATGTGAAGGCAGACAAAAATATGGATATCACCAAAGTCCAACTTAGTAAACCAATGGGTTTTATTGGCATTATACAGGAATATGGGTGAGCATAAATGACTCAAAAGTCAGCTGTATTCCACTGCCCACCCAAGCATGGGTGACAGCTCACAAAAGCAGGGAACCTGGAGCACACTGCACAACCTGCAGGCAGCACAACCGGTTGGAGAGAGTCCTTTCCAGTTGGCTAAGCTGGTCTGAGCCTCATCCAAGCGGCTCAACTGTTTGTTTTTTTGTTTTGTTTTGTTTTGTTTTGTTTTTCTAGTCAGCTTGACTGGTGTCTGCTGCTTCAAGGCAGTTTGGCTGGTGGCTGCTTCTTCCAGGTGTCTGGGACTGTCTGAGAGTCTTTCTCTCAGCAGTGTTATTGTTTGTATACTCTTGAGGAGGAAGAGGCCTCGTCAGTTTGAGGGACTTCCTGAAGCTCTTTTGAGTTATTTACTTTTGCCTTTACAGACTTCTCTGTAGTTATTTCCCTTCCCCTTAGAACATTCTGCTGTTTCACCCTCCTTTCCACATCTTATGTCTTGTTTCCCTCCAAGATGGAAGGTTTTAATCTTGGAGGAACTGCTAAAATATACATGATACCCTTGGTAAAGTCCTTTTGCAGTGCTACTATTTTACACAGTCGCTTGACAGGGTGCTGTCTCTCAGTGTCACGTTTTAAATGTTCTTCCCCTGCAGCCCTTCCTCAGTTCACTGTGACTCCTCAGAGCAGAGTGGTCATAGAAGGACAGACTGTGGATTTCCAGTGTGAAGCTAAGGGCTACCCTCAACCAGTCATCGCCTGGACTAAGGGAGGTAAGATGCTAACCTGGGCTTTCTCATTCTTCTAGGATACAGCTATTGTCTTTGGGTCAGGCAGAACCAATATCGTTCCCAAAGGGGTGTACTGTGGCATTGGAAGAAGTTGAGGATTCCATAGAACCTGCCTTGAACTGCAGTGTGGTGGTCACTGTAGGTATCATGGATTGAAGCTATCTTTGCAGAGGGACTTGAGGTGTCTGTTGGCACTTCTATGCAGTGGTTCACAGTGTGTGGGCTAGAGTTTTCAGGGTCCCCTTAGGACCCATTAAAACAGGCTTTGTCCCCTGATTCCCAAAGCTGTCCTCCCATCTCTGCACTTGGTGTGTGATTGCTTAGTTCTTGGTCAGTTCATGGCTCCTGTGGTCTGATGAAAGCTCATCAGGTTGGGTGAGATCTCGGCAAAGGCGGGCACTAAGTTCCCTGAGGAAACCTCTGTAGATCTCCAGTGTTCCTGGCTTGCAGCCTAGGCAGAGACTTTGGAGATGCCCTGCCACCTTGGCTTCAACCAAAAGGCCACTGCATCCTCCCTCTGGGGAGCCCTGCTTGTGGATCCTGAGAAGCAGATTGAGGTAGAGGCCAATTGCACACTTCTTGATTGGCTAGAAAAACTACCTGGTGGAAAGACTGATCCACAAAAACATGTGCCAGTATCCTGCCCCAAGGTTCCCTTTCTGTCTGTTTCCTTGGGCATGGCTTGGGGTCAGCTATACAGGCACCCTGGGTCGTTGTCTTGTCCTCATGCCTAATTTTTCCTTTTGGCTCTGTTCTTTGTCCCTTTCTATGGTATTCCTTGATTGTTGCTGGAGTTTCTTGTCCCACCAGGTTCTGCCACCACTTCAGCCACAAATAAGCACACAGATGCTATAGTAGTTATAAAACTGTTGGTTGATGGCTAGGGCTTCTTATTGGCTAGCTCTATCTTAATTATCAACCCATTTCTATTAATCTAAGTAGTTCCATGTGGTCTTATCTTACCAGAGAAGGGTCTGGACCTGTTGCTCCTTCCCCTACTATATGGCATCTTTTTGTGTGACCTCTCTGCCTCTTTTCCCAGAATTCCCCTCATTTCCTAGTCCCGCCTATCTTCCTGCCTCTATTGGCCAAACAGTGTTTTATTCATCAACGAATAAGAGAAACATGTATACAGAAGGACCTCCCCCATCACTTGATTCCTTCTTTAAGTATGGCCAGTGGTGTAGGAGCCCACATGTGGATGTTGAATAAGTACCTGCTCACTGGAAATAGAGTGGGCATTTGATACCTGATCCAAGAAGTTCAGCCCAGTGACACTGCCATCTTCAGAGATAACATTCTCTCCAAGTCACCCTGACAGGCTCTATATCCAGGGTGACTGATGTCTTTCCCCACTTTGTAGGGAGCCAGCTCTCAGTGGACAGGCGGCACCTGGTGCTATCCTCAGGCACACTCAGGATCTCCGGGGTCGCCCTGCATGACCAGGGCCAGTATGAGTGCCAGGCTGTCAACATCATTGGCTCCCAGAAGGTCGTGGCCCACCTGACTGTACAGCCCAGAGGTAGGTGCTATTGACTGGGTGGATTTCTGCATGTCCATCATCAGTGACATACTTCCTGCATCAACATTCATATTCTAGTTCTAGCTCATCTGGTCATTGTGCTCTGTTTAGAACCATGGTACTTGTGTTCATGAGGCATTCATGGGCACTTACATCTTTATTTCCTTTGTTATAAAGGCATTTATTTATCTCATGCTGGGGTCAAAGAGGCTGACTTTGTTAGTGAGCCTACTAGGGCAGACAAGTAGATGTAGCCTAAGGCTGTTGATTTCTTTGAGCCCTTGAGGGTACCATGAACCTTGTATTGTCTTAGACCCATAAAATCTACTGTGGGTTTGTAGACTTCCCCCTCCTGTACTTGCCGGGCAACCTCACTGTGCTCAGGTGCAGTTCACCACGGTGGGATCCCACAGTGGTGCCTGTCAAGCTGCTTCTCCTGCATGGTGTGTCTGGAATATCAAGATCATTGTTTTGCCACACCACACTGCATGCTTCTGCCTTCTAGTAGGAGGTGTGAGCTGAAGAATTCAGGCAGCCTGGCTTGCCGACTAAGCCACAGTTTTTCAACTTTGCTAACAAGGCCTTGGTGCGGTTCACTGGCAGGGCTCTGGGTTGGCCTGTGTGGGCTCTGCTATTCTGAAGCTTTGTGGTTTGAATCAGGTGCTGCCTCATTCTCCACACTTGCCTTCTAGTCACCCCGGTGTTTGCCAGCATCCCGAGTGACATGACTGTAGAGGTGGGCACCAATGTACAGCTGCCCTGTAGCTCCCAGGGGGAACCGGAGCCAGCCATCACCTGGAACAAGGTAAGAGCTGACACCTCACCCAGGCTCTCTCTAATGCAGTAAGTGTGATGCAGGAAGTGTGTTTTCAAAGTACTGCAGAGGCAACCTTAATCATAAAGATAATGGAAAAAAAATACACACTCCCGCATCAGAAGCAAAGAAAGTCCTCTATCGGTCTATAACTTTAAGGAATGAAGTTAAATTTTTGTTACTTTGTTTTTCCTTGTTCTTCATATTTAGCCCACTGTTAGGCAGAATCTCCACACTGTACACAAAGGAGCTTGCTGGGATGATATAGTGACCTCACTACGGTTCCCACAGAATGCCAGTTCTCAAGGCTTTCCAACTCCTTCACTGCCCAGAGGCCTTCTCCAGAGTGGCACAGCAGTGGGCCGCACATGGCTTACCAGTTCTGTCTCTGAATTGCCCTCTTTCCTAGAGGCCTGTTTCTTGGAGCCCTTTCTACAAGGAGTTACCAAAGGAGCTCCCAATATACTGGGGTTCATTTTTTGCACATAGCTCTGTTCTCAACAAAGGATAGGTGTGTGGAATAGTGTTGGGCTTGGGAGAATAGTAATAAATCTCCTTCCCTGGGAAGATTGGGGCAGATATAAATAGCCTCAGAGATTTTTGTTTTTCCATTTGAGTCTTAACAGTGAATGGACATTCCTTTCTCCCAGAGAAGAAACTTCTGTTTCCCAGTCTTACTGCAATATCATTTTTATTATTTTCCTCCAGGATGGTGTTCAGGTAACAGAAAGTGGAAAATTTCACATCAGCCCTGAAGGATTCTTGACTATCAATGATGTTGGCACAGCGGATGCAGGCCGCTATGAGTGTGTAGCTCGGAACACAATTGGATATTCCTCTGTCAGTATGGTACTCAGTGTGAATGGTAAGATGTGTATGCTGAGCACAATGCATTGCTGTCTTAGAGGGTTTGGGAGATACTATATCAGGGCTGTATCTTCATCCTGTGAGCATCCATTTAGGGCGTGTGCTGGTTTAGTTTGAAATGTCAAAGTGACACAATTTAGAACCACGTAGGGAAAGTTATTTAGGAATTATCTAGATAGGGTTGGCTTGTTGACGTATCTATGGGGGGATTGTCTTGATTCTTAATTAACGTAAAATGACCAAGCCCACTGTGAGCAGAACCATTCCCTGGGCAAGTGGTCTTGAATAGCATAAGAGGGGAGAAAGTATATATATATTTTCTTTGCTTTTTGATTGGACTTGATACTTTTGCGTTCCTGCCTGACTTCCTCTATAGTGAGCTGTAACCTGGAACTATAAGCCAAATGTATCTTTTCTTCCCTAAGTTGCTTTTGGCCAGGATTTTTTTTTTATAACACCAGAAATCAAATTGAGAATATCGTGTTAGAATGATTCAGAAGACAAAATGTTTGGCCCTAACTTGACCAATGGCTGAGCTTCCCTGGAATATCTTCCCCTTCCTGTAGTTTTTTTCACAATCTTCAGCAGCTCTTTTCATACCCAACAGTGCAATTTACAATGATCCCTACAGGCATCTCATGCCTTCCAGTTTGTTATGGCTACATGCAGCCTGGGATGTTCCTCATGTACAAGCACAGTCTTTTCCCAGGGAAGTAATTAGCCAGAGTGTCAAGATTTCATCTCTACATCCTCCCCCATGTTCATTCTGGTCTTTGCCTGTCTTGCTCAGTTTTGGAGAAGAGGAGAACCAAGAACTCTGCTCAGACACTGCAAAGGGAAGAAATTGATGAGGGAGGTCTGGGGTCTGGGTCTGGAGCTCAAGGGAGGAGCCAGAGTACTAGATGAGGTCATCCAGGAGAACCTGTCTAAGAACAAGAATGGTCATTCTGCCCTGGGTATCCAACCATCAAACTGTCTACAAAAGGAAAAGTCAACAAAAAGATATTCTCCAAATGACCAGTGAGGGGATGGGGTCAGAAAGCAAGGATTGTACAAAATAGACTCAGCACCTGTTAACCAATGTGAGAAAGAGTCAGAGCAGGGGAGAAGAAAGATGATGAGTGTGCACAAGAAGGCAATATGCACAAATGCACCAGAGACTGATAGATACGGTGGTTCCCATTATATCCCAGGCTGTGGAGGTCTGCTGAGCAGGAGAGTCTATCCCAACCATGTCTTGTCTGTCCCAGGGGAGGAAGGCCCACCAAAGTAACCAAGTGAAGGATCATTTCAGTAAGGTCTCTTCGATTGGTCCAGACTATGAGGATATAGAGGAAAATTAACCATCAGGCTAAGATAGAAGTGGTATGGCAAGAGCTGCTTCAGTGGCTGAGGATGATAGATTAATTATGGTGGGGTTTATTTGTGCTTGGCAAAGACTGACTACTAACCAGTTCTTGTGAGATGAGAAAAGAACAAGAATTGAGATTCATACAGTACTTGGTGGCGCACACCTTTATTGCCATTGCTGGAAAGAGAGCACTGGTAGAGCTCTGAGTTCAAGGCCAGTTTGGTCTACATAGTTCAGCCAGGGTCTGGCATGCATATCTGTCTGTCTGTCTGTCTATCTATCTGTCTATCTACAGATGGTAGATTAGATAGATAGATAGATAGATAGATAGATAGATAGATAGATACTAAGACGTTGGCTGAAAAAAAAATAAAGAATCAAAGTGTGAAGCTTTGTTGGAAATGAGTTGTGTTGTGTATTATGTGTATATATGTGTGGTATGTATTATGGTGTAGGCTTGTTTTGTGTGCTATGATGGTATAATATGGTGTGATGTGTCTTTTACAGTTTGTTGTGTGGCATGTGTTTTATTCTGTATGCTGTGGTATGTGTATTGTGTGTATGTGATGTGTGTAGGCCATCTGGGTATCTAGGTGCTGATTTTTTTTTTTTTTTTGTGTGTGTGTGTGTGAGTGTGTGTGTGTGTGTCTGTCTGTGGGCCCTAATATAGATGTGATGATGACTATGCAAACCAGGGTAAGGGACTGGCAATGGAGGGGGAAATAAAGAGCAGAGTCCAGCATTGGGGATAGTTGTCCTCATAGAAGATAAGAGACTTCTAGAATGAAGGCACCTCCCCTGATGTCACTGTCCACCAGATGGACCTGAGGAGCCTCAGCTCCCCACAAGCATCATGTTGGGTGTGAGCATTATGTTATAAACATTTTCCCACTTTTATGGGGATATCATGTAATTTATCAAAATTAAAGAGTATATGATTTCCATAGTGTTTAAAAACAGCTCCTAGTAGAATTGATGATGACTAAACTTGAACATTGGTTCAGGAAAACAGAAATATCTTTGGGATGAAAGCATGACTTATGTCTAGATGATGTCGTGTCTAGACATGGTTGTATGAGTAAGAATGTAGTGTTTGTTTTTTCCTACTAATGTGTGTTCATGCTTTCCTAGTTCCTGATGTAAGTCGAAATGGGGATCCATATGTTGCTACCTCTATTGTTGAAGCCATTGCAACTGTTGATAGAGCCATCAACTCTACACGGACACACTTATTTGACAGGTATGGTGGGCAGGGCTGTGGTGTTGGCCTTGGATAGAGAATCGGGCAGTGTGGGGGTGGAATGCATGTGTTCCTAGTGCATGGGTCTTTTACCTATTTCACTCCCCAAACTTAAGTCCTAAGACCTCTCATAGGAAAGCCATAAGGAGCATCAGCTGACTGGCTTCTCTGGGGTTAGAGTGCTAGCAGAAGGTACACCTTCTTCACAGGCTCTGGACTGTGATTCACAATCAAAACATTCTTAGGAGACCCACCTCATTCTTTTGGCTCTTTAGAAACAATTTGGCAAAAACAAAATGTTACTGAGGTGGCCAGTGGATCCCTCCATGTTGGCAGTTGCTACAGACTCTCTGCACCTTAACTGAAATGCAATGCCTGTGACTCTCTCTCTTGACTTATTAATGGTTTGTTTTCAGTGTCTTTGGTTCTTGTTTGTCTGTTTGTTGCTCTGTCGCCTTCCACCTGGGATGAGTAAGGTACAGTGCACCACGTTGTCGAAAGTAGCGATAGAAATTTAGAAATATCAGTATAATTTTAGTTTCTGGATTTTTGTCCCCAGTGATTTATCTCATTGATTCTCTCCCTTCCTCACTCCTGCCAGCCGTCCTCATTCTCCAAACGATCTACTGGCCCTGTTCCGGTACCCACGGGACCCATACACAGTGGGGCAAGCCCGGGCAGGAGAGATTTTCGAGAGGACCCTGCAGCTGATCCAGGATCATGTTCAGCATGGCTTGATGGTGGACTTGAATGGAACAAGTCAGTACCATGTTCTTCCACCTTCTTCCATGAGCAGGAGGTAGCAAACACACCCTGCTATGTGTGCATTGTGCGAGAGGCTCTGACCATGCCTGCATTAGTATCTGAACCTACTATTTTCTGTCCTTGCTAGGTCCTGGTGGTGTCATCTTTGGGGACTTTGACCAATGTGGGACCTGATTAGCTAGGCTGTGGCTGATTTATCTGTGTCTGTGCTGGGCTTGGTGTTTGTCCTTATCCCTATAGGCTTAGTCCTTGTGTGGAGGGGAAGCTTCATAGGACAATTTTGAGGTAGCTGGTGTTTCTGGTTGCTTCTCCCAGCTTAGAATTCCTCATGTCCACTTGCTTTCTTGAATTTTTGTATGGATATTTTGGAGATTATCCTCTGTAAGAAGAGTCTCTCTTACAGCCTTTAATATGTGCAGACTGAGTCTTCAGAACCAGACATATGCTAGATATTCTTTAATGAAAAAATTTAGTGCTGACTTTGACCAGGAGAGAGAGAGAGAGAGAGAGAGAGAGAGAGAGAGAGAGAGAGAGAGAGAGAGAGGAGAGAGAGAGAGAGAGAGACAGAGAGAGAGACAGAGAGAGAGAGAATATGTACATGCACGTATATAGGTTTTATGTGCCTGAATATGTGTACATGTGTGAATGTGAACGTGCTCATGTGTGAGCAGCTATCTCTGTGAGCATATCTTGCAGAGGGGCATGTCGTATGAGTGTGCAGGCAGCATTGTGAGTGTATGTATGTGCATATGTGTGTAGCTATGAGAATTCACGTGTGAGTGCACACCTGAGTGTTGGTGTGTGAGCATGTCCTCAGATGAGTTTGTACAGGTGTGTACATGTACAGATGACTTTTCTGAAGACTCCAGAATGTTCTGTAGGGGAGGGATAGTGAGGAAGGTGAAGGCCTTGGTGTAGGCAGAGTTTTCCCATCCTGGGAGCAGCTTCCAAATTACAACACAGAGGCTTATATTAATTGTAAATGCTCAGCCAACAACTCAGGCTTATTACTAACTAGCTCTTACATTTAAATTATCCCATTTCTATTAACCCACAAGCCATGTAGCTCATGGCTTTACCTGTCCTCTAGCATGTCTTGCTTCCTGGGTAGCTGGCTGGCATTTCTCTCTCACTCCACCCTTCTTTCCCCCAGCACCCTCGGTCTGATTGCCTGGCTATCAGATAATGTTTTATTAACATTAGCACAATCCATAGCACCTTGGCTGTGCTAATGTCTACAGGCAGCATTTGATGAAACTGAGCTCTGAGCATGGGATCCTGGGGTCACTGTGTGGATATGCTTGATAACTTTAGGAAGGTTATGGACACCTGGTAGAGGCATGCTACTGACCAACAAGGTTTTCCTGTAGCTGGTGAGCAGTTCGAGGTTCTTGATCAGGAAGCCAACCTAGTAGGAGCCTACCCTTGGCTAGACAGGTTGGAGGGTATTTTTTGTGATGGATTCTGTAAAATTCAAGGCCAGTGTCACGGATGGCATCCTAGGGTGATGGCAGAAGTATGGAGAGGATGGCAGGAGTCTGTGAAACCTGTAGGGGAGGCCTCACCCATGTAGGTGAGTATAGGATGGACCCTGAAGAAAAGCTGCTTAAGTTATAGTAGTCAGGGCAATGTACAGTGATGGGCATAGGGAAGCTGTTTCACAGGACCTCTTGTGGCTGGTGTAGAGGTGCATTCTCTGCCTGGTCCATGATACAATATGATGTGAGGCTGAAGGTCCTCAGTTTTGGACCTCTGAATGTGACAGACTTCTTACATTAGAGCCAGTGGTATAAACTATAGGCCCGATGATAGGGCATCCAAACTGTTAGCCAACAGAGAGCCGAACAGGAGGGTACATTCTAACAGGTCAAATGCCAGAGCATCTTCAGGCACCAGCTGACACACTGAAGGCAGTGGTCTACACCAGTCTACACCGGTGGAAGTCAGTGCCGCCCTGCTTGTGTTGCAGGTTACCACTACAATGATCTGGTGTCCCCACAGTACCTGAGCCTTATTGCCAACCTGTCAGGCTGCACCGCCCACCGCCGTGTGAACAACTGCTCAGACATGTGCTTCCACCAGAAGTACAGGACGCATGATGGCACATGCAACAACCTGCAGCACCCAATGTGGGGCGCCTCGTTGACTGCCTTCGAGCGCCTGCTGAAGGCTGTGTATGAGAATGGATTCAACACGCCCCGTGGCATCAATCCCCAGCGTCAGTATAATGGGCATGTACTTCCCATGCCCCGCCTGGTGTCCACCACACTGATTGGGACAGAGGTAATCACCCCTGATGAACAGTTTACACACATGTTGATGCAGTGGGGCCAGTTCCTTGACCATGACCTGGACTCCACAGTCGTGGCTCTGAGCCAGGCTCGGTTCTCTGACGGGCAGCATTGCAGCAATGTGTGCAGCAATGACCCTCCCTGTTTCTCTGTCATGATTCCCCCCAATGACCCCCGTGTGCGGAGTGGAGCCCGCTGCATGTTCTTTGTGCGATCGAGCCCCGTGTGTGGCAGCGGCATGACATCTCTGCTCATGAACTCTGTGTACCCGCGAGAGCAGATCAACCAGCTCACTTCCTACATTGATGCATCCAATGTGTATGGCAGCACAGACCACGAAGCCCGCAGCATCCGGGACCTGGCTAGTCATCGTGGCCTGTTGCGTCAGGGCATCGTGCAGAGGTCTGGCAAGCCTCTGCTTCCTTTTGCCACGGGGCCGCCCACTGAGTGCACACGGGATGAGAATGAGAGCCCCATACCGTGCTTTCTGGCTGGTGACCACCGTGCTAATGAGCAGCTGGGCCTGACCAGCATGCACACACTCTGGTTCCGGGAGCACAACCGCATTGCAGCAGAACTGCTGAAGCTAAACCCACACTGGGATGGGGACACTGTCTACCATGAGACTCGCAAGATAGTGGGGGCAGAGATACAGCACATTACCTACCGGCACTGGCTACCCAAGATCCTGGGGGAGGTGGGCATGAAGATGCTCGGAGAGTACCGAGGATACGATCCCAGCGTCAATGCTGGCATCTTTAATGCCTTTGCCACTGCAGCCTTCAGGTTTGGCCATACTCTGATCAACCCTCTGCTCTACCGGCTGGACGAGAACTTTGAGCCCATCCCACAGGGCCATGTGCCCCTCCACAAGGCCTTCTTCTCACCATTCCGGATTGTCAATGAGGGGGGCATCGACCCACTTCTCCGAGGGCTGTTTGGAGTGGCAGGCAAGATGAGAGTTCCCTCCCAGTTGTTGAACACGGAGCTCACAGAGAGGCTATTCTCCATGGCTCACACCGTGGCCCTTGACCTGGCTGCCATCAATATCCAGCGAGGCCGGGACCATGGCATCCCACCTTACCATGATTACAGGGTCTACTGCAATTTGTCAGCTGCTTACACTTTTGAGGACCTGAAAAATGAGATCAAGAGCCCCGAGATCCGGGAGAAGCTGCAGAGGTGAGTACTGCTAACCTGGGGTGTTGCTGGAGTTTCTTGTCCGGCCAGGTCCCACCAACCTGCAGCCTCAAATAAACACACAGATGCTGTATTAATTATAAAACTGTTGGCCAATGGCTAGGGCTTCTTACTGGCTAGCTCTCTCTTAATTATTAATTGATGAATATCTAAGTGTTTCCATGTGGTCTTATCTTACTGGAGAAGGGTCCGGACTTGTTACTCCTTCCTCGGCTACATGGCATCTCCTCGAGGTCTCTCCCTACCTACCTTTCCCAGAATTCTCCTTGTCTCCTAGTCCCACCTATCTTCCTGCCTCTGTTGGCCAAACAGTGTTTTATTCATCAACCAACAAGGGAAACACAAATACAGAAGGACATTCCCCATCACTGGGGCACTTTTAAAGATGTGTGGATGCCAGGTAATTTTGGCTGTGAACTGTGGTGTTACTGTCTCTCGGTTCAAGTTTCTGTGGTATCTCAAGATCAGGTGAGAGAAATCTGTGGAGGCTGAGATTGACTAGTGGTCTGCTGTCTGGGATGCTGCAGTGAGCCTAGTGTTGGGTAGAGGCATGTGTCTAAGCCTATCTAAGCTGTCTAAGCTTTCTGTTGAGATACGAGTTTTACTTAACTAGCTAGGACACATAAGAGTCCTCTTGGACCTGGCTTGGTCTGTAGCCCCCTATTCTTAAGTTAAGCCTGGAACCTCACCTGTAGTGGAGTCATACATGAGTGGTCATTGTTCATAGAAGAGGAGAGATGGACAGCCAATGTGCAGGTTTCGTGGGGACATGAATATCCCACAACTCAGAGGATAGGTCCAGGTCTGCTCAGGATTGGATCATCTCACCTAGAGCCAGGCTTTTTCTCAGACCTACCTCCTGGGAGCTGCTCAGACCTGAAGGTCTGCAGAAGGGCTTTGTCCTGTGAGATGCTGTGGTTTATGAATGAGCACTGCTCTGCTCCCCTGTGCTCCAGTTCGTTTATATAATTGTTAGTATTCGCTTACTGGCAAGGGAAGCATATGAGTTCTCCACAGGAACAGTTCCTTTTTTTTTCCGCCGTTATGCTTAATTGGGATTTATGCTCACTGACTGTACTTCAAGTGCTTCAGTGTCCCCCTGTGTTCCTATCCAGATGGCCACAGATGAGTTTCCCAGTCATTTTTTTGATTGCCAAAATATTTCAGAACTTCTTAGTTTCTGGTAATCCTGCTGCTGCTGCTGCTGCTGGAGATGGTGAGCCTGGCCCAGCTGCAGAACAGAGACCACTGGCAAAGACAATGCTTACCCCCCATCCCCACACACACAGAGTTACTCATTTTTTTCTGTGAACCCATTACCAAGAGGAAAAATGAGACGTAAACAGGAGGAGAGTTGAATGGCAATGAAGTCCAGGGCTGTCAGGATTTTAAGCAGGCCTTGGGGAATGCAGCTGCTGTCTGTCTACTGTCCTGGCAGCTTGTTATACAGTTTTGCATTTCAGAGCAGCCTAGAGATGAATAGTTGGGCTGAATCTGGGCTTCTCTCCCTGGTGTACGCCCTGTAAGCTACACAGTCAGGGTCTCCAGGCCCCTGAGTGAGAGCTTTGCAGTGTCATGGAGACCATCCCCAGCAGGCCTGAAGTAGATAGCCTTCAGTCTCCCGCTGTTCTTTTATGAATGGGAGGGTGGAGTACAAAGGGTAGGTATCCTGAGGAGGCACTGGCATCTGGTGCCTGTATAGAATGACCAGCAGCCCTCCAGCCTCCCATGTCAGGTGGCTTCTGGTAAGACCTTGGAGACTTTGGTCCAGCGTGCTTTTCCCTGACTCAGACAAGGAGCACAGTTTGTGCTTGGAAAGGCTGGGTGCCAGCTTATGTGAGAGTACATGTATTCTACTCATAAGATGAGTGAACGTCTTTTCAATAGCATGTCACAGCTAGATGATAGGGTGTTCTGCTGTCATTCCAAGCCTGGTGGGGAATGGCGCCAGGGGGCTGGGAGATGCTATTTCATGCTCTAGCAGAGTCTCTAGCAGCAGCTGGAACCAGGACCACCTGCTGCCTTGTACTCTCTTGGGAAGTTGAACAAGATTAGGAAAGAAAGATCTGTAGGCATTGTTGTTTCTTTGTTTATGAGCATGTATTCCAGGAGCATGGAGGACTTGATGAGAATGCTTGTTAAACATTCTCAAATGTTTAAGCCTCATGTTAGATATCTAATTAACTAGCATTTCCATTGACAACTACATTTCAATATATGGGAGGGTCTAATCCTATTATTTTCAAATGTGACTACTCATTGCTCATATACTTAAGGAAGAAGAGAGGTGTGAAGGGGGTGCCTCGTGGAGTTAGATGGTTCTCCTTGGAACATAAGAAAGAATGTTTTAATTTTCATATCTATTTTTGGTGTGTATGTGTGAAAAAAGGAAAAATTTTAAAAATATGATTAACTATGCTTTAAAGAAATACTGGTGAGCTCTCTTTGTTCAATATAAGTCTGGACAATGTGTAGGGCCTTTTTCATACTTGCTGTGTTTCATATCCCAGGCCGCTATGCTGGGCAGACCTGACTTCCTCCTTGTCTGTTGCAGGCTGTATGGCTCAACTCTCAACATTGATCTGTTCCCGGCCCTCATGGTGGAAGACCTGGTCCCTGGCAGCCGCTTGGGGCCCACACTCATGTGCCTGCTCAGCACACAGTTCCGACGCCTTCGGGATGGAGACAGGTGGGTGCTGGAGAACCTTGCTGTACTTCATGATTGTTCTGGACTTAGGACAGATGCCAATAAGGACCTCTACCCACTTGCTGCCCTTCCAACAGCTCAACAGTTCTGTACCTCCTGTAGGCTGTCTAAGCTAACACATCTGAGTCCCAGGTGCTGTTGGGCTCTGAGACCAGTGAGAACGTGGATATTTCCAGGAGCCCTTTGACTATTCATGGTGGCACTCAGAAGGACTAGAACATTGCTGTTTGTTTTGTTTGGATTTTTGAGATAGGGTTTCAGTGTGTAGCTCAGTCTGGCCTCATTCATGGCAAGCCTTCGGCCTCAGATGTGTTCCACAACACCTACCTGAAACATGGGGCTTGTGGTAAGATTTCTTTTCATTCTAACAATATTAGTTTACTTTAGCAAGTGGGAAAAGTTGGCCAGACCTTTAGCTGAGAGTTTAGTCAGAAGTTTAGCCATCCATCTTTTTTGAAAAGTAGCCTATCTTCCTTCTTGCTATTCAGATGAGCTACTGCACTATCTCTTATATGCTGGGGATTTTTGCTTTTCTCACATGTATTGGGTGAGAATTTGAGCAACATCTGGGTCATTTTTTTAAATTTCTGTTCATGGAATCAGCGATTTCCATGTTGGAATACCATTCTCACCTTGGATCCTTGTGGCTAGCGGTCTCTCTGCCCTCTGCTGACCCGCTGACCCGCTGGCCCTGTTGTCATCTCTGGAGTACAGGTTGTGGTATGAGAACCCAGGCGTATTCTCCCCCGCCCAGCTGACGCAGCTCAAGCAGACATCCTTGGCTAGGATCCTATGTGACAACTCAGACAATATCACCCGTGTGCAGCAGGATGTGTTCAGGGTGGCAGAGTTTCCACATGGTTACAGCAACTGCGAGGACATCCCCAGGGTGGACCTGCGAGTGTGGCAGGACTGCTGTGAAGGTACGTGGTGGCAGTGTCCTACCCTCACTGTCTCCCCATTGCTGCTGCTTTGCATGGCAACAGGAAAGCAGCCTCTGGCACTTGGTATGGTAATTATTTGTGGTTGCTTTGCTTAGTGCATGATTCCATGGTCTGAGATATAAATGTCATGGTGTCTTATCATGATGGCACCATATGTTATTGAGCCCAGGCTGTATGGGGCAGTAGCTCCACCCACACTGCCTCTGAATGAACTTAGGAGACAAGGAGGCACCCAAAGCTAGATAGAGAGCTCTTTCCAACCTTAAATGGGCATACACTAAAATGCTAATAAAGGTTCAGCACAGTAGATGCACACACCAGCCACTCAGCCGTGTGTGAACATAAACACCATGCATTTAATGTCACATTTCACCCTACTGCAAGTGCATCACATTTATTGATGACATTGTCACCTCAGATACCTGTGCTAAGACATCATTATTATCTTAGGCTGCACAGTATTCTGATAACCAAAATGCTTTGTGAAAGTTAACAAAACTTTAGGGCATCCCTATTGTATATCTGACATTTAACCTATTATACAGCTACATTTCTGTGCGTGTGTGTTGGTCCCATGACCCACAGCCACAAAGAGGAGAAACAGTTCATCCAGGAAGCATAACAAGTATATAATCATGTTATACTGATACCCTGTTGTAACTGTCTTCTTGAGGAGGTAGGGAGTAGCCTACAGGTGTGAGAAATCTTGATGTTAGGGCTGGACAGCCTCATAATGAGGTCTGTGCAGCATGTTCCAGTCAGCCGGGAGAGGCCTACTCCCTGCTGTGTCTGTCCACCTCGCACACAGGGCTGCCATCACAGCTCTAGCAGCCACTGGCTTCCTGTGGTGACAGTTCTGCAGTGTCTTTCCCACTTTGCATTCTTGAGTTCCTCTCTTGGTTAACCTCAGTTTCCAGTTTCTAATTTGAGTGCAATTTTGGCTTTATTCAAACTATGATCAGAACCCCATAAATAATAAAGCTGGGGACATTTACAACCTAAGCCGCGCAACATATGTTTGTGGTGAGAAGAGGACTCAAGAGGATGGGTGCTCCAGCCACACATGGGGCAGCACACTTGGCCCTCAGCCCTGCCCTACCCCTTAGAGGCCCTGACGAAGGTGGGCCACATAAATTTGAAGAGAAGCACACAGAGTTCAGAACTATGGTTATCTCTCTCTTATTTTTCTCCAAAAGTAGTCACTCAAGCTATTAAATAAGTATTGAAATCAGGTTGACCTTTGAAGCTGCAGTTAACATCTAAGAGAATGTGTGGTGGGGGTGCATTCATATGTGAATGTGTATGATCATGTGTGGTTTGTCCAATATGATTTTTTTGTCTGCCTCTCCCCCATATGTGTGCGTGTGTGCATGTGTGCGTGTGTGCGGGTGTATCATGTTCTATAGGCAGAGTTTTCCTGTTCCACAGTTACTCTCAAATAAACATACTGAAGCTTATATTAACTACAAATGTTCATCCAATAGCTTGGGCTTATTACTAACTATCTCTTACATTTTTTAAAAAGATTTTATTTATTTATTATGTATATAACATTCTGCTTCCATGTATATTTGCACACCAGAAGAGGGCACCAGATCTCATAACGGATGGTTGTGAGCCACCATGTGGTTGCTGGGAATTGAACTCAGGACCTCTGGAAGAGCAGCTGGTGCTCTTAACCTCTGCGCCATCTCTCCAGCCCCTATCTCTTACATTTTAAGTTAATCTATATTCCTTATTTATGCTCTGCCATGTGGCAGTACCTCTATTAGCATGGCGTGTTCATCTCCTGCTCCCTCTCATCTAGATGGTGACTCCAGTCTCTGCCCTTCTTCTCACAGCATTCTCCTAGTCTGGCTGTTCTGCCTAACCTTAGTCTATCCAGCCATTGGCCAGTCAGCTTCTTTATTAAACCTATCACAGCGATATATATTCTCATGGTGTAAAGGTATATTCCACAGCAATGTTCAGCACAAGTGTGTGTGTGTGTGTGTGTGTGTGTGTGTGTGTGAGAGAGAGAGAGAGAGAGAGAGACAGACAGACAGACAGACAGACAGACAGACCAAGAGAGACACACAGAAAGAGAAAGTTATAAGAATTCACATAAAGGACATCATGCTTGCTGTGTATCTAGTCCTAAATCACTGTTGTTCTTTTGATCATACAGTGGAAACTTGTATCTGCTTTTGCTTCTTTTTGCTTTAAACGTTCACAGGTTTTTCCAGCCTAAATACTTTCCTGCAGGGATGGCAGAGAATTCTATTTTGTTTGCAGGAACATGTTGTCTTGAAAATATTGTGCAAAGTCAATTGTTATTTTCAGATACAGAGACTCTATTTTCTGGTAGCAGGACCAGGTCCCCTTCTGCTACAGAGCAGAGCCAGCCTTCACTGCTTTGCTTAAAAATATCCACAGTCCTGGAAGAGGTCATCTCTGAGGCAGGCCTTGTCTTGGCATGTGCCCCCATAATGTGCCATTGTCCCAGCTGCTGCAGATGCTCAGTGCCCCAAAGTTCTTGCTGACACAGCTTCTTCCAGGTACTGTGCCTCTTAAAATAGAAGGCTTGGTGCAATCCCAGAAGAGCTTCAAGATTCTAAATTTACTGATTTCTGTTTTAGCTCAAACCCATTTCTAAATCCTGCAAGGGGAAAAAATGCTGGTTGCCGTTAATATTTTTTTGGATGTGTCTGTGTGGTACGTGCTTGCATAGTATGTGTATGTTTGCATGTGTGCAGGTGCACATGCATAAAGGCACAGTTAGCATGTAGAGGGCAGAGATTGATGTCTAGTGTCTTGGGTTTGTCATTGAGCCCAGAGCTTGACAATCCAGCTTGTCTAGCTAGCCAGCTTGTTCTAGGGATTCAAACTCCACTCCTTCTGCTTGCTCCTCAAGTGCTTTATTTACTGAGCCATCTCCCCAGTCCCTGTTCTTTCAACTCTGCTTTGAAGGAAGCTCATGACAATATTGCTTCCTGGAGCTGCACCTGGGTCACAGCACCAAGAGCAACACTCATGCACCCCAGAACCTGAGGCAGCTGCTTCTGGGGTGGGACAGTGTCCATTTCTTTTTACTCGATGTGGGAATTGCAGCCTCTTTCTAGGGACTGATGAGTATTAGGGGATTGCACACATACACACATGCTCAGACCCCCACATATGCAATTTGAAATATTGATTGAAATACTAAAAAGAGTCCAAATATTTCACCCAGATTCACCAACTGTGTTAACATTTTCTACATATTTATTTGTTCTTTTATGTGTGTGTGCAAGTATGTATTGTCTACAAATAAATAAAACACAAAGTTTTTTTAAATGAGCCCAGGAAGTTGCAGATTTCCTGCTACCACACTCCTAAATAATCTACTTAAGTATAATGGAACATTTAGCATAAACAAAATTCTTCCCCGATTTTTGGATTCTGTTTGAATTCTACTATTTTCCCAAAGATGTTAGTTCATAACAGGTTCCACCTGACTTAAAATTTACCTTAAAGTTCCCGACCCTATATCCAGGTAGAGTTCTTAGTCTGTCTCTATCTGGGTCCTTTTGGTGGGTGTCCCTCCATGTGGGTTTGTCTAACCTTTTCCTAAAGGTTAAGCACAACACTGCAGCACAGAGGAGGCACAAAGGGCTGTGTTCCTCGTGGTGCACCACAGCAGGAAGCACAGGGTATAAGTTTGTCCCGTGACCAGTGACAGTGATTCAAGAAACTTATTTAAAATGTTTGGCTACACACTTTGGTGAGTGTGAGGACCTTGTTCCCCACCAGTACATCTGCTGGGAAACATGTGGTTCCATTTAGAATTCTCTACACCAAGTTTTTCCTCCTTTGGGGTAAAGCCCTGGGTGGAGAACCATTCCTAGTCCGGACAGGTGTTCCTATGAGGTTCAGGTTTGGAGCACAGGTCTTCAGTACACACAGAACTTTCCAGGCATTACCGTGGTTTGGGTACATTTGCATTGTGAGCATGACTACTTCCATAGCAGCAACAGCATTGGGTGTGGGGTTGCACTAGAGCCATGGTGCATGCAGCTGGCACAGGCCAGGCAGAGACATGTAGCCCAGCTCTGCTCTGTGCCTGAGGGAGAGATGGGATATTCATGGCAAATACAGCGGTTCTGGATCTTCAGAACCCATCTATGTGTTGTTCTTGGGTCAGGGCCACTGGGCACAGCCAACTCACATGAGACCCACCTTGCCTTGTTGCTGTTCCCAAATAATCTAGGGCAAGGCTTTGTGAGGGAGACTCACCCTTGCCCTTTTCCAGAATATTCAGCCTTGTCTGGCCTGGCTTCAGTGTTCAGGAAAGCTTGGAGGAAGAGTCTCCAGTGAAGAGGTGGGAATACAGGAAGTAGACATAGCTGTGGAAGGCCAAGATTCTGTGGATCTGGTTTATGTCCTTGGAGCCATCTGAGAAGCTGCATTATCTACTCTGATTGGTGGACAGGACAAATTTAATAATTCCAGCTTAACTTGGGTCACATGATGACCTGTGATAACAAGTTCAGGCCACTTAGGGACTTATGTGGTCAGAAGTGAGGGCTTGATTCAGTTGGAACACTTCCTTCCATTTCTAGCCATAGACATCAGGATCTAGATGCTGTCATCCAGAGGCAGGCAGCCACATGGCCCCAGCTTATCATTCCTTTGCCTTTGTCTTGTAGCATGTCATCTGCTTCAATAGGGTCACAAGACTTTAGAATTTGGAAAAGACTGCCTTTAGCCTTTGCTTTCTTCTGGGCCAGGCTATTTTTAGGGGAGAAAGGAGACATAGGATGCCTGTAAAAATGGGTGGCTTTAATAAATATTGTAGGTGGGGCTTGGGTGAGAGAGAATAGGGTTCCTTCCCACATCCAGAGCTTGGGATGAGGCTGCAACCAGGGAAAGGAAGTATTTGGAAATTACCTGGTCTTGTTGCAGGTTGGTTTGGGCTGATCATGAGGTCTTGGGGACAGGGTACCTCTTGACAAGGGCAGGAGGACTTCAATTATGCAGATTTGGATCATGATGGTAGAGTGCTCAACATCTCCTGTGTGGACTGCAGGAGGGCACAGCGGTCACGTGGGGTGCTCTGGTCCAGAGACTTGCTACAGCTATTGGTCGGTTTAAGTACTGGTCCTGGAGCCACGGAGCACTAACAGACCCACTTTTAGCTCCATGAGTCCTTTTAGGCACTGCCTGGCATAACATAGGTCCTAACTGAAGGGGGGAAGAGAGATGATGTGTGATAAAAATAGCTACTGCTGAACAAGGTGTAATTTATCCTAAATTAGAGTCATCTGTAACTGATTGCCTCTTTTTGCTTTTTCACCAGACTGCAGGACCAGGGGACAGTTCAATGCCTTCTCCTACCATTTCCGAGGAAGACGGTCTCTGGAATTCAGCTATGAGGAGGATAAGCCCACCAAGAGAGCAAGGCGGCAGAAGGCACTAAGGTGAGTTTTGGTGGTATTTGGGAGGTGTCCTGGCTATTGTGGGTTTCTGCTACAGGCTAAGGTCTTGCTGTTGTTTTGAGCTGGGTTGTAACCTGGGTTGGCTGAAGCAGAGGTGTCCCAGAGTAGAGTAGACAAGGTCTGTGTCTTGCTTGACAGTACTGGCTGTAGCGTGCTAGGCTGGGCACTTAGGAATGTTGTCCTCGACCTGCACCTTGACAATGTGAGTCTTTTTACCCCTCAGCGTGAAATATGGCAAACATCTCAGCAATGCCACATCAGCCACCCATAAGCACTTGGAAGGACCAGCAACTAATGATTTAAAGAAGTTCATTATGGAAATGCAAACGGTCATCACAGACCTCAGAAAACAGGTAAGGCTGGCCTGAATCACTGCCATCTTCACCTCCTTGGACCTTTCACCAGTACATCTGCTGCCCCCTGAGTTCCCTGTGTGATTGTGAAAGTGTTGACTTTGCCCTCACCTGCTGGGGACTGGCCATTTGTGTAGCTTGCTTTTCTCGAGCTTGCTTCTAACTAGGCTGCATTGTCTCTGTGAACTAGTGGGTTAGGTTGTTAGGTCCTTTTTTTTCATTGCTGTGATTAAACACCGTGACCAAGACAACTTATAGAAGAGTTTCTTTGTGCTTACAGTTTGTGCTTACTTGGCTGCAGGAGTAGGAAGCTGAGGGCTCACATCTTGAACTGAAAGCATGAAGCAGAGAGAGGAAACCAGCAATGGCACAAGGCTTTGAAACCTCAGACTCCACCCCCAGTAATGAACTTCTTCCAACAAGACCATACCTCTTAAGTCTCCCCACACAACTGGGAAACAATTTCCCAAATGTCCAAGACTATTTGGGGACATCTCATTCAAACCCCCACACCTGGGATACTGGGCAGTGGACAGTTGATGTCTCTAAATTTGGGGTACCCTGCCAGGGATTATGGCTGAGAGGATAAGACTGGAATAGATAGACACAACGTCCCAGAGAACTCAGCCATAGCCAGAGGAAGAGGTTTGGGAGAAGACAAACCTGAAGTGGCTGGTAGGCCACTTCTTCAGGAACAGTTTGGAGCCTAGACAGTGATGGTAGGCTCACCAAGGCTGCATGGCAGGGCACCAGGGCCACACACTGCATCCCTGGCTGAGCATCTACAGATAACGTCCTCTCCTTCTGTGTAAGGAGCTTTGTTCTGCCTCTCCTAGGCTCTATGTTCAATTACTAAAAGCTTTGTTTCAAAGAGAGTGGAGGCTAGACCCAGGAGGTCTGTTCACTTGATAGTAAAGAGTGTAAGTGTGTGTGCCTGGATTATAGGGCAGAAAAGTGTCCTGGATGATGTGGAGTATGTCCCAGACACTGGTGACTGGTTTGTGGGATTCTTGGGTCTGGCTCTGTTCCTGTCAGGTCCAAGGCTACTCAGGTGACAGGCTCAGAGGAGACTCATGTAACCCAAATTCCTTTCTAGATACAGAAGCCATTCCTGTGGCATCTGCTGGCTTGATCCTGGCCTTCCAGGCATAGGGGTCCATCTCTGTGCATTCTAGCTTCCAGCTTGTTTTGTTCTAAAGCACAAACGTGGGTGATGCTGGGGATTCCTGGCTCAGGTAGAGAAACTGAGACCAACCCAAGGAGACCTAGGGATACTGAAGGAAACAGGTGTCCTTCAGATCTGTTGTTGGTCTAGGTAGGCCACATAGACTAATTCCATACTATCATCATTTACTTATAGTCACAGGGGAAGGACCTCTTGGCTTGAGGTGCCAGCAGACCTGATAATACAGAATGGCCTTTGTACAGATAGCTCTGGAAATTTTGGTACTTCCCTATCATCCCTGCATGTGTCATCCCTGTCTGTGCTGCTGCCTATAGTTCATCAATGCTGACAGCCATCTAGATTGTAGCCACCTTTGTCCTTGGCTTATCTGGGTTTTGAGTAACTCAGAATCAGCCATCTATGCCCAGGTTACTTTCTACTCCCTAAGGATATTGGTCCATCCTTTAGCTTTCTTCATGGCCTCAAGTTGGAATGTTGAGGGTTAACTAAAACATATGCTAGTGAGTTATTGTTACAGAAAAGTTTGCTTTCTTCTTGCTTGGAAATGCTAAAGCATATCTTAGTGTGAACTAACTAAATTTCAGTTGGGATTTAGGCTGTTGGGAGTATAGCCATCCTAATACAAAGACAATGGGGTGATCTTAGTGCCAAGGGCCTCATAGAGTTGCAGAAGGTTCTGTGCTCAGATCCATTGTAGACTGGGGACCACACTGTGCTCAGTAGGTAGGACAGGGAAATTCAGGGGCTGGGGTTGAAATCCTCATGGGAAGTGGACTGATTTAAAATGCTGTGGCTCCTATCACCTGTTGTAATGTGGGAAGCCTTTCCTCAACTGAGCATGGTTGAGGTTTATTCCATCAACTTGCACTGCTCTGTGCCTTGCTGCAGATAACCAGCCTGGAGTCTCGGCTCAGCACCACAGAGTGCGTGGACGACAGTGGTGAATCCCATAGCAACAACACAAAGTGGAAAAAGGACAGGTGCACAGTTTGTGAGTGCAAAGTGAGTATGGGGTCGGTTCTGTGTTCATGCTCATCACACCTGGCAAGCAGGTGGTCCAGGTGGCAGAGTGAGGTCCTGCTGGCCCTTATCCTCAACCCTGCTTTCCCTTCATAAGCTGGAGTACATGGGGGCATTTGTGTGAACCACCCCAGCTTCTCTTTGTGTACAGAGAGCATATATACACCTGGGAACCTGAAAACTCCACAGCTCATGACCCCTTTCTTCCAGAGCTGGCTGTTACATTCACTCCCTTATCCTCACTGTCTCTGTCCAGGTCTACCCTGGGATATTAGTTACAGAGAATACTAAGGGGACATGGTCCATCTTTGGGAAGAGGCAGGGATATATGTAGGGAGCCGTCCCTGCATTCTCCATTACAATGATGGCGCCTGCAGGCACTGAATGTAAACAAGATTATTGCGCAGGCGCTGGGTAATTTTCCATTCCTTGATCTCTGCCTATTCCGTGGCGTCATGGCCTGATGAGCTGCAGCCAATCATAGGGTGACACGTCCCAGGCGGCGGCTGCCAGCCTTTATTAGGGGACGGGATTCTTGGCTCGGGGTCTCCGCTCTGGTAAGCTTATGCTCTCCTCTCAAGACGCATTAAAGCTTTACTGCAGAAGGATCCGAATGTCCTGTGTGGTTCTTGCTGGCGAGGCGATTGCGCGGGACAGATATACCTTTGTTATAAACAGAGGTTCCCCTGCAGCTCTGGCAGGAGTCCACTTGGGACAGAGCCAGAAGACAGGACAACAGGGATGAAGGATGATCCAGACCACTTCTTGTCTAATAGGGGACAGGGTTCATCCCTTTGCAGGAACAGTGCAGGGTACTCCAAGCATCCCTGGGTTGCCTGGCTAGTGAAGACTAAGCTAGGGGAGGGAGGATTCTTTTCAAAGAAGACCATTTCTCTCTGGTCTCCTTCCTGGCAGGATGAAGTAGGAGACTGGGGATGAGGCAGCTCAGTTCTTTGATCCTGGGCCCCACAATATAGGGTTAGAGGGCAATAGGAACAGACAGGTGTGCAATGAGATCCTCTGGGGGGGGGTGTATTTAGAGCTCAAAAGCTCCAAGTGTTGTCTTGGGTCACAATCCCCGGATAGGAGAGCCAAGCATGGTGGGGGATGAAGGCAAGAAGCATGGGGCACCATACTGGGGCAGAGGTCATGTGGATCATGCCCAGTAAAGGATCCCAGAATGACAAGAATGTTTCTCCCTCTTTCAGAAAGGACAGGTCACCTGCTTTGTGGAAGCTTGCCAGCCTGCAGCCTGCCCAGAGCCTGTGAAACTGGAAGGTGCCTGCTGTCCTGTCTGCTTAAGGGACACAGAAGAGGAAAAGCCTTAGTGTCCCTGCGCTAAGCACCTCGAAGCTGGCCCATAGAATCCTTGTGAGCTTAGATGGCAACATGGGGAGCTTCAGACCACAGGATAAGTTGGAATCCCAGACATTTCAGGACCTCCACTGTGTCGCCACTGAAGCAGCCCCGGCTGTGTTTGTAGAAGGAAATTGAGTATACAGGAGTGGCTCTGGTCCTCACTTCATGTTAGACTTCTCAGGTTTTTATTTAATTATTTTTAAATGAAAAATTGGTGCTACTATCGAATCACACAGTTAAGACATGTGGGTTCCTAAATTGTTTCTGCCTGATGATGCCACTTCTGTTTAAATGAGGCAGGAGTCTTTGGCAAGGCTTCATTTAAGCAGAAGTATTTGGCAAATGGAATAGGATTTCTTTTTTTTTAATAACTTCCTGGGCCACAATCCCCACAGGAACACTAGGGCTTCTTCCTAACACTCCTCCATGTCCGCTATCTTCACTTTAGGGCTCTTCAACATCTGACTACAATACCAATACAACCCTGCATCTTGGGACCATGTCAGCCCTTCTACACATGACTGTCACATTATCATGCCACATTTAGAAATTATCTTGTTTCAATTTAGAAGGTGTGTAAATACTGCCTTGCTGTAAACTGAAGGTGAAATCCTTTGGTCTCATGCCACATCTAGTGACCTGAACATCCCCTTGCATTGGCAGGATGGTCTTACAGCCACCACCTGCCTTGGTTCCTGACCATAGTGTAGGGAGAGTGATTCACTTTCCAGGTGACAGGAAATAGGTGACACACAGGCAGAGCCTGAATGTCTGAAATCACATTGTGTGAATCCTTTAAAGGAAAAAACAAATCCCTATACCTCATTTTTTATTGCATGATGTTTTATAAAATTTGCCCATTTTAGATGTTAGAAAAATTACTTCCACTATGCAGATTTTTTTTAATTCAGTGTAAAGCAACTATTATACCTCATAGTCTCTTGTTTTTAACTGACCAAAATGTTCCATTCTATTCTCACAAGGTTCTGAGGACTCTCCCCTGAACAAGCAGGTCTCACCCTATATACACTGATGTGCCCAGCACTGTATGCCAGCCATGTGGGCACATCAAGAGGGTCACCCACCCAATAGCTAGGGAAGAAGGGACACAGAAGAGTCAGTGCCACTTTGAGAAGGCAAAATGGGTGCTATTATAGGAGACCATGGTCAGGCAGGGTGATGTTCAGCTCTTTGCAGCCCCTGACTTGCGTTGAGCAGTAAGGCCATTTTGGTACAATCTATGTGTGATCCTTATGCTGACACGAATACCTTCCCAGAGATAGACACAAAGCCACAAATGTAAGGCTGCTAGGCAAAGACAGAATCCCAGCATGGGTGTGTTCATCGTGGATTCACCACATTGCGTATGTAAAAGTGGTCACTGTGCCTTGCCCTCCTGTTGCTAATGATATTCAGAAGCCAGTGGTCCAGCATGGGTGGGCATTTGTGAAATATTAAATTGAACTTAGAGATGATGAGATCTCAGAATAGACTTCTGTGAAGTAGGAGACATAACTGTGCCATCTGAGTGAAATCTGATGGCGGTGTGGTTGTTCAGGCATACCAATGGCAGGAGAGCCTGTCCTGGGTAGCTGGTATTTCACATGAGCCCTGGGGGTATGCCTTATGCCAAGGCAAACAAGTGTATGTGGGGCTTAGACAGGTGTCCAGGGTTTTTGTTCTCTGATCCTGTGAAGGAAGCTGGCTATGATTTACATTCATTTCTGTCATTCAAACCAAGATGTATACAGATCTCCATTTGATGTTACAGTGTCACTGGCCAGGCAGTGAGCAGTGCCCAGACACCCTTTCTGATCAGCCGCTGCACTGGGCTTCTGTGATACAAAGCAGTGTACATATTTATTTACTTTTCTGACTGTTGCCAACAGCCAAATGCCATTTTATGTTCCTTGTATTCAATGCATTACCAAAGAGGTGTTTGCACTTTGTAACGACACCCTTTCAGTTCAAATAAAAGGGCCACGTTGTCAAGTGGAGAACCTGTTCTTTTTACTCTGATGCAAACAATAACTTATTTGTTGAATGATGTGGAAGTATGAGGAAGAGACCCAGGCCTACACAAAAACACAGAACTATACTGTGAGCCACAAAAAAGGAAAAGAAAGGGGGGGAGGTGTGGTTCAGAGAGAGATTCTTCCTTCTGAGTTAGGGAGGGCACCTTAGCCAGACTGATGTCCTATGGGTTCTGACCCTCAGACAAGCTGCCTGAATTTCCATGTGGACCAGTATGTTTCTTTTTCAGGAAATGCCCAGTGCTCTTGGCCCTCTGAGGGGAGAGGGTGGGTAGATAGCCTCTGTTCTTCCCAGGACAGGAATAAAGATCATGCTGGTTATGAAGTTCCACCCAAGTTGAATGTTTTCCCATGTGTTTGTGCTTGTGTGTGGCCTTCAGCCTGACCAAGGTGACCCAGGCAGCAGGTTTGGGAAGGATACTGTTCTGAAAGAAGCAGAAAGTTGGCATCCTGTTTATGTTGCCTGGAGAAGAATGTTGCATTCATGTAACCATCATGCAAAGGAAGATGTGATGTTAAGGAAACTCATATGCATTCAATTTGTGTGTGTGTGCATGTTCATATGTACAGAGACCAGAGGTCAGAGAAAGGTGTCTTCCTTGATCACTTGTCCACCTTGGTTTTTGAGACAGGTTCTTTCTCATGGAACACAAAGCTCACTAATTAGGCTAGACTGGCTAGCCAACAAGCCCCAGGGATCCTCACATCTCCACATACCACTGATCCTAGATTTTTACACAGTTGCTGGAGATCGGAACTCCCATTCTCATGCTTTGTGTAGCAAGCACTTTGAGCCATCTCCCAACGCTTTGTATTAAGCTTTTAAAGTCGGCAGATCATTTCAGAAACTAAATAGAAACTTGAATACTTCCACAAATGTGCCTTGCTGTGGGAGAGGATGTGTGGGATTCTCTCCTGCACTGTCCTGGTGAGACAGCTTTCCCACACCAAAACCACAGTCTGTGACAGACTCTTCACATGAGGTCATGAGCTTTTGCAGCCACCTCAAATCACATGAAAATTCCAGCTGCTCCTTTCCCCCTCTAGAATGATAGATGCAGCATGACTAGACTACACTCTGCTTAATCTTTTTGCCAAGACTAATGAACTACAAATGAGGCAGACAGATCTCAGAAGGCCAGTGTCAGCAGAGTCTGTGAGCAAAGTAAGACCTGGCCCCATGTGGTGGCTGGCCAGCCAGTCCCAGGTTTTCCTTTAACACCCTGCTGACTGACAGGGACCCTGATCAATTACTCCTTTTTAACTTCAGATATGGAGAGTTTTTTGGCTTTTTGACTAAAACCATCCTATCACCTATGTTCACATTACAGTTATTCTCCTACTGCAATGACTCAAGGTATCTAACACCTCCCTCCAAGCCTGACAAGTTTCATCATTGACTCTTGGGAACTACATGGTGGAAGGAGAGAACTGACTCCCACAAATCCTCTGACCTACACCTTTACCACTTCACCCCCTTCTATAATATATATATATATATATATATTTCCTGAACCCAGACCAGAGACTTCAGTGGTAGGCAGCAGGCATGAATTCAAAGCTTGCAGAAGCACTATCATGGCTGGTTTTCCATTTGGGGAATTCATTAAATGCAACTCTGTGTGTATCTGTTACTGGCTTCCTTTATTCAGACAAGTGGGACTCCAGAGGAAGGAAGCTGAGTTTGGAAACCCCAGAACCCTCTCCATGGTCTTTTCCCACCATGCCCTAAAAGTCTCTAAAGCAGCTTTTCCCTTTTGTTCTGACTGTACCCAGTGATCTCCTAGGACTGCTGGAAGCCAGCTGTGTGGCAGGTGCAGCTGTATTACTGGTGGCTTTGTTGTTGAGGAGAGATGTGGGCTTTGAGCATCTTCATCCCATTATGACTGTTTAAATACTAACTATAAATTGATTTGTAGATGTCGGGAGAGAGTAAAGGACAGAAATCATATCATCATATTTTCTTACTCTAGAACGTTGAGTGTAAGTACCATGGCAAGATTTATTTTTTAGTGTACTTTACATAAAACCAACATTATTCTTACTAACCCACAGTTAAAAACCCTCCCCCCATCAAGAAAAATAACCTCTGACATCATTGTTCCGTGTCTTCTAAACTATCTGCATCTTAGTGTTTTATTGTTTTGTCTGTGCTTAAACCAAACCAGGCAGGGTACACACATTGAACCAGAGAAGCCTGCAGCTGTTTCAGAGGAGATCCCTGGAAAACATGTTTGTGTTCCTTAAAAATGACCACATCCAGAATCATCTCAGATGAAGCTGTTGGTCATCATTGCTTGTAATTATGACTCAGCTCACCAGGAGAGGAGGGAACAGGATATGGTGCTTGTGATCTCCAAGGATACTGTGCAGCCTGGCCATTAGACTTCCACAGAAGTCCCAGTGCTGCTGTCACAGGAATTCTGCCTCCTCCAAGTCTGGCTCGTGGGGCAGAGCTCTCCTGTAAGTCAGTAGCACTGAAACTGAGACTCAGGCCTGCTTCACCAGCCCTGAAACCAATCTCCTGTTCATTCCACCAGGTTTAGAGAAACAGCAAATCCATGCTTGAGAAAGACTGGTTCTTAGTGCATGCTATTCACACTGTGGGTCCAGATAGACTTGAAGAGTTTGCCTAGCATGCCTCAGGTGTTAAAGGACAAATCTGGGATCTTGAGAAATGTTGATGCTCTCTGTTCCTTCAAGTGCTCAAGGGCAATGAAGTCAGGCAAAAACAGAATAGCAACAACAAAACTAACACTACCCTGTCACACCCAGAACAGCTTGTCATTGCCCAAGTCCCACAGAGGCCAGCACTGTTCCTCAGAGGCTACACCCTGAATCCAAGCCATTTTCATTTGCCCAGGCATCCTTCACCAGACCCCCCCCCACACCCCCCACCGTCTTCTTGTGTGATGCATCCCATACATAGTCTCCCAAAACACTCGGTTTATTGCATCTTGTTATTCTGTGTCCAGTTGACATCACTGGGAAGCCTGCTCTTTTCTGAAGGGAAATGGAGGATCAGTGGATCTGGAGGAGAGAGGAGGTGGGAGGGGGATTGGGAGAAGGGGAAGGGGCAGAGGCTGTGTTGGAATGTATTGCATAAGAGAATAAAAAAAAAAGAAAAAAAATCTCCACTGACTGCAGTAGCTGGACTTTAAAGCTCAATGCCTTCACTTGTGGACTGATTTTAGCAGAGACCTACTCCCTCTCCCTCTCCCTCTCACACGTCTAAAGACGAGGTTTGGATGAGTTCCATCTCTGTTAATTGCCATTGGAGCTCAGACTATAAACTCCACCAGAGCCTCAACTTCATCTATAATTACCTAACTTGTAAGATTCCTTTTTAATTAAACAGGATACATCTAGTGGGAAAAGAAAGAAGTGTGGGTACGTTTATTGCCAGAGACAGTGTCTCAAACAGCCTTGAAGTGGTCTGTATGCTGATGAGTAGGGACAGACCTTGGCCTGTGTGCTTTTGGGGTTCTGAGAGTCAAGTGGTTCTCTCTGCAATGTTAACTAGAAATCTAGTCCTTTAAGCCAGGCAGTGGTGGTGCACGCCTTTAATCCCAGCACTCAGGAGGCAGAGGCAGGTGGATCTCTGTGAGCTCGAGACCAGCCTGGTCTACAAGAGCTAGTGCCAGGACAGGCTCCAAAGCCACAGAGAAACCCTATCTCGAAAAACCAAAATATAAAAATAAACAAATAAATAAATAAATATCTAGTCCTTTAGATAAAAATCCATAAATTCTCCATCCTGTGAACTCTAGGTTGAGGTGTCCTTTTTCTTCTATAGAGGGAATCGAAGCCTGGACCTGTGCACCTGCTCCTCCTAGATTTGGACTATCAGCCTGAACAGGAAACAGAGTTACCTACATTTGGAGATGGACTGAAGAGCATGTTCAAAGTTAGAAATGGCTGGCCACCTTCACTTGCTCACTCAGCAAATAGTAACTGGCTCATAGCCAAGGGCCCATGCTAGACTCTAGATGTGAGCAATATACTTAAATAGACGTAGACTAGACAGATGTCCCAGTAAAAATTGTCAGCTACAAACCAAATGGGCTAGAAACAGTCTAGAGGCAGAATATGGACTAGCTATTGACTGCTCTGTATAGAGATTACTGGATATACAGTAGGTAGAGATGGAACACACAGACTAGATATAGGCAAAACAGATTACCAGTCTGAGTTTGATATAAACAGCCTATGTGTAGATACAAACTAGAAAAATACTGAAAATGGACTAGCTGCAAATTGGACTTCATCCCTCGGCACCATGGGATGAAGATGGTGAACTGTGAGGCAAGGGGCAGGACCTCTCAGGAGTTTACCTTGGAAGTCAAAGAACTTCCTACTAGTGAAAAGCAGAGGTAAGGGCTGTGGTAGCAATACAGGTGGTATCTCCATCCCAGGCAAGGCAGGGAAGTAGCAGTTTGGCAAGCTGAGGTTTTCTTCAAGAGTTGACTGCTCTGGGTCCCTGGTGGCCCCCTCAGAAGGCTTGTTGCAGGGAAGTACTGTGATGTTGCCCACTGTGGTAGCCTCATATCAAAGTAGGAGCTAGCTCTTCTACAATTGCACACAGCCAGAGGGCCCCCCCCCCCAAAAAAAAAAAAACCTCCCTTGTCACAGATGGGGTAGAGGTAAGGAGCTCTGGGTCAAGAAGATCAGTCAGGGTGACATGACAGTGTCTGAGATGAACACATGACTGAGGTGGACAGCTATGCCACTGGGGTAGGTAAACAGCCACTCCAGATGCCTCATGTTAGCTGGAAAATCAGAGCATGATGTTACACAGTGACTGTCAGGTGCATGTGGCAGGTACAGATGGCAGACACAGTGACTGGCAAGTGCATGCGCACAGCAGGCGTGTGGCCTTCAGGATATAAGTGTGCTTGGAAGGTGGGTGTTGCTGCTATGGCTGTGCCTACCTTCAGTACTGTCAATGCCAGAGTGGAGTCATCCAGGATACCGTGGAAAATTTGGGGGGTGTGGCCCCAAATTCTTCCTGTTAATTACCCAGCAACTTCAAGAATGTGTCTTTCTATTATTACCATAAAATGTACACATCTGGGGTTCTTTTTGGCATACACTTTTTCATAAAGGTCTGCAGTTAACTTCCACCTCTCGTCCTCTTGCTTCTCATTGGTACAGGCTTCAGTTTAGGGTTGATGGCTGCATTGGTGGCAAGCTGACATCAGCAGCAAGAGAAACAGTGGCAAAAAGTGCATATACACAAGGCATGTGGTACCTATACTTCTAAACCATTCAGACAAGGAACAGAGCTGTTAACAATGTTCTCTGGCATGGAGAGCTGAGAGTGCCTTGACAGGGGCAGGTATCTGTGTGTTCAGATGGAGCACAGAGCATCAGGGAGTCCTGAGAAGGCACCAAGAGCAGGTGAGGGAAGAGATACCCTAGTTGGTGAAAGGTAGGGTGTTTGGGATAAGGCTCATACAACCTTCAGAGCTGGTCCCCCATGGAGATGCTTCTTGACTCACCTTGACTTGCAGATTTACTTCTGGTCCTGTACAAGATGCATCTCTGGAGTGGTCAGTTCTATAGCTTCTGTCTGGAAAGGAGGGAGAAACAACCATGGCCTTTGCCCCTGAATCTGGAGACCTTGGCTAGAACATCCCAAGTGAAGTACTTGCAGAATCCATCACCCAGAGACTTGTCCTTCACCTATGACATGGCATTGTCTTTGTTTCTGAGTTGTGCAGCAGTGTAGGATGGTGTCACACCGGAATGGAAGATTTGGAATCCAGCTGGGGCCTACACAATGGAAGTCCAGCTTTCTGGGAGTATATTAGATGCTTGTACTGAGATAGCAGCCTTGCCATCCATCTGGCAGGGACAAGCAAACAGGAAGGGCAGGGATTATGTGCCTGGACTCAACAGAGGAAAAGTCACATCCACAGGCTTCTTACAGGACCTTGACAGAACAGATCTATATGTAAGACACCCAACTCTAGAAGAAAACAGGGTTTAAGAAACTTCTCTGGGCCAGGCACAGACACCTTTAATCCCAGCACTGAGGTGGTACTTGTGTGCAAGACAAAGGAGGATCTCTGTGAATTGAAGACTAGCCTGGTCTACCTAGTGAGTTTCAGGACAACCAGGGCTATCTAAAGAGAACCTGTCTCAAAAAAAAAAAAATAGTAAACTTGCTTTATAAAGCGCATAAGAAAATGAAGAGACAAGCTACAGAATGGATGAAAAATGTCTGCAAATCACATTTAATGTGAACCTTCAATTGGAACAAGAACTCTTAAAACTCAACAGCAGGAAGCAAACAACCCAGTCTAAAGCAGGCAAGCTATTTTTAACACTCTATCAAAGAGGATTTTAAAAAGGTAGGTCATATGTAGTCCCATGTCAAGTTTGGTGGTGTTTGGTTGGTTTTTCTTTTCTCCACATTGAATTCCATAGCTGCTGCACCAGTTTGCTCTCTCACCATCAGTAAATATTCTTTCCATATACCCTCACCAACATTTGTTGTCATTTGATTTCTTGATGACAACTATCCTGATTCGGGTGAGAGGGAGTCTCAAAGTCTTTATTTACATTTCGAAGTGTTTATTAGCCATCTTCTGAGGATTCTCTGCTCAGATCTATAGCCCATTTTGAGAGTTGTAAAGAAGGAAGGCAATAATCATATCCACAAATTGTTATCTCCATTAATGAGTGGGAAGATAAATTGAGATGATGGTCAGAAGGAAAACTATTGACACAATAGATGCCCAAAAGGGTGGTAGAGGAAGGAGAACCTCATTTTTTGTTGGTGGGAATTCAGAACCAGTGTCTTTTTATGGAAATAGTGCAGTTTCTTGGGGAGTTAAACATGTGCTTTTCAGAGGACCCATACTCTGCTCCCAGGAGGACAAGGGGAGCCTAGAGTAGTATTTTCCATCTGAGTTAATCCCTAAAAGTGATCTGTCACTCTTCTGCTTCCTCCCTCCTTCCTATCTTCATTCTCTCCCTCCTTGTGTGTTTTTCTCAGTCCTCAGCAGGGCAACACTAATTACAGCTGAAAGGCATGGTAAAATCCTTGGCTGAAATCCTTGGCACATTGTGTCAAAGTTCAAATTCCATTCCACCAATGTCACTGGTAATTGGGACATACAAGTCTTTTGCTTTATTTTGTTTACCATTCCCTTAAAAGTAGTTAAAAATATTTTTATACTTCCTAAGTTTCAAAAAATACATTTTCTTTTATGAAAATTGTCTGGGGTCAATAATCTTATTATCAAAGATCTTTGTTTTAAGATGGGCATAAATTTGACATCTAAATAAATATACTAAATGGAGAAACAAACATGGTCTCCAACCTTAAACAAAGAACTACAAGCAATGAAGGAATGCTTGAGAAATTGTTTTCCCTAGGGAAGAGCACACCGATTGTTTATTCAATATCCAAATGGTCAGCCCTGAAATACGTACATAAAAATAGCATTATACATACTGACATGTTGTAGTTAGGAATGTATAAGTATTTATGTATATTCAGATAAGCATGTATCAATAATTAATGAAAAAGAGGCCATGAATTTGAAAGAGAGTAGTAAGAAGGGGTATATGGGACGGTTTGGAGGGGAGAAAAGGAAGGAATAAGTTGTGTAATTATATCGTAATCTCAAAAATAAAAGAAAAAATATACTGAGGACAAACACTTCTTTTAAAACATAATCATTTGAGATACACAGCTAAAATACCTTTGGGCAATTTTCATTTGCAAGAGCTGTTGGGTGATGGATGTTCAACTCGCCTGGGTAGGAGGGTCTCAGTCTCAAGTTCAGTCTTTCTGACCTAAAATGGAACATCTGTATTTCTAGAAGATTCCCTTGGTTACATAACCAAGACTGCTATCCATAGGCCAGCTTTGTTGAGATATATGCAGCCACAATTGCCTTTTAAACACAGCCTCTTTTAGTCTTTACTTTGGCATTTCCAGGGATCTCTTGGGGGTTCACTGTCTGCTCCCTTGTGTAGGTCTCATTCAGCCAACACAGCTATTGGGGTGAGTCACTGCTGTTCCTCATTGTTCTCTTTTCTCACGGCATAACATGTGATTTTTATTTACCCTAGGCAGTTTTTAAGCTAGAAGCCCAAACAGCCCCAGTCTCCTTGGGTTTCGTTGTCCTCAGCTGTGAGGTGGAGATGCTGTGGAAGCTGGAAGCCCTTGCCTCTCACAGGACAGGGAGGGCTAGGTTGAAAGTATGAAGTGTGAAAGTCCTGTGGTTATCAGAATACTCTGTACTAAGTCATTCCTTAAACTGTAGTTCTGAAAACAAGCTGGAGAAAACCACATTAGATATTTAAATGATTAGATATTTCCCGAGAACTCTCCCAAAAACAGCACAGTTTAAAGTGATTCGAGAAAAGAACACAACCAAGAGCTTAGAAAAAAAAAATCCATCAGGGATGATGACAAAGTAAAAAGGAAAGCAGAGTGACTTTGTCACAAGAAGACTGGGCACAACTACAATGTTGATGATAGTTCTTGAATACATAGGAGAATGCTGGTGGAGACTCTGTCCTTTAGAGTTGAAAAAGCAAAGTAGAAATGCTCAATACTTGGGCAAGTATCAAACACTACTTTTTCCTCCTGGGGACCTATATTTGTGTTGAGTGTGGGAAGCAAATCCATACCCACAGTGTCCAGCCACAAGGCTGCTTTGTATATACAGAATAGAACCTTATTGTTTCAAAGCAGACAGGGAAATGTTGCATATTCTATGATAAGCATTGGAGTAGCTGTTGAAAAATAACCCCACAAGGTATAGAAAATGCTAACACATGACTTGAAATGAAATGCCAATAATAGTTTTAAAAACTATTAAATTTTGGGAAATAGAGAAAATTTTTTTTTAAAAAATGTCTTTTAAAAACACAACTAAGTTGGTGACGATATTATTTATTAATGGTTTAAATTCACCAATTAGAAGATTGGGCGAATAGACAAGAAAGAACCTTCAACTATGTGCCATTTCACAGACCCACATTTTAAAGGACCACATGGGTAGAATGTTAATGGATGAGCAAAGATGTGATAAACACTGAATATAGGCAGCTGGAGTGTGTTTTAGTGCCAGGTAAAATAGTTTTAACAGCAATCATATTGGCCAAGGCCAAAAGAGAGATGGTCCATAATAATAATAAGTTTGTCAGAAAACCATCATAATTAACTGAACATTTTTCACCATGCAGCACAGAAATGGAGAGTTAAATATAAAAGTAGACCTTTTCACAAAGTAGGGGATTTTAATACTCCCCACCTGTTGTCATTAATAGACTGGGGGTGGGGGAGAGAAAGAAAGTAGAGACTGCCAAACACTAGCAATTTCCATGGTCTAATTGTTACTTATAGAGCACCTCACCCAACAGTTACTCAGTCTGCATTGCCTTCAGGGGCGCATGGGCATTTGGCAAGGGTGGGTGTGTCATTCAGTGGAGAAGGGAGCTGAGCAGGTACATTTGTAATTCCTCCTGAGGGCTGGGGGAGAACGTGATGAGCTTGCTTCTCCTGGAAGGAGATTCAGCTGGTATTGAGCTGGGCCATTAGGCAGACAGAGTTGCTTTGCTCGTCTAAGAGTGGTCAGATGGGGCGTGCGTGCGTGCGTGCATCTGCTGTTTACCCTCCTTGTGAAGGGTGTAAAACTCTGACCTGGCGTCCCACAGCTGAAGAGTACCATGAAATGGAGCAGTATCTGCAAGAGCAAGGGCAGATAAGAGAAATGGTTACTGCTTCCACTCTCTGGGAAGATGTGGCAGTGCTGTGGAGTAATCCTTCTGTACATTGTGAAAATGTGTTGCTCTCATTGTTAATAAAAAGGCTGATTGGCCGATAGATAGGTGGAATTTTCTGGGCAGAGAGAATGCTGGAAAGAAGGCGAAGTCTAAAGAGTCCTGAGCGACACTGGATGTTCATAGATGAGGTAAACAAGCCCTCAGGGTACCACATAGATTAATAGAAATAGGCTAATTTAAGTTGTAAGAGCTGTCTTCAGCCATCCTAAGCTAATGGCTGAACATTTATAATTAATAGTAAGTTTCTGTGTGGTTATTTGGGAGCAACTGCCAGGACACAGAAAAATTTAGCCTACACCCTCTGGATGAAAGCTCCCTTATTCCTCCTGGAGATGGCTTCAAATCAGCCCCTGATTGTTGTGCTTCTAGCAGACTCAGGTGGGCATTTGACATCAGAGCTTCTTCAGCTTTATTGTGCTTAGAAATCGTCCGTGAATCCTAAAATGGTACTTGATTCAGGTATCTGATTGGACACTGTGAAGAGAGAAAATAGGTGAGTGGTTAAAAATCCACTGGCCTCCAAAGTACCTGCTAGAAACCTTGCTGAGTGCTTCCTACCTATTGTCTCATCATTTATCTACAATTGGAACAGCTTCCCAACAAGGTATCTGCCCACAGAGACGTTAGAGCCTATGCCCAGATCCATTTGACTTGGTCAGGACACAAACCTCTGCTCTGTTTCCATGTTGAGTATGGAGGAGCCTTGTGGGCTACAATCTCAACAAAACTTCCCTGGGACCCTTCATTCCTTTTCTACCAAGCCAGCTGGATTCTAGCCACAATTTACTGCTAGGGGCTTTGGTGCTGAGCTGGGCTTCTGCTCCAGAGGATCCCCTGTACATTTCCAGGGCTCTGACTAGTGACATCATGGTAGCATGGATTTCTTGTGGTGGAAATAATTGAACTTGACACACTGGTACCGTGGTAAACTCAGAGCTTTTCCCAGAGAGCTGGTTGTTGAACAGTTATGAACACTGCTTCACTATGTGCAGTCCTATGGGGACTTTGGGTTGTCCAGTTGGTTTCCTTTTCCACGTTTATTCAAAACCTATGGCAGGTAAATGATACATATTTTTTTCCCTTGAACTTTCATGTTCTGGTAACTCAGTGACTGGTGTATATTGAGAGTTGGTAGGACTTTTGAGAGGTGGATCCATGTGGAAGGTGAAAAGAGAATGGGCCAGAATCTTCATTAATGGAATCCTATTTTTCATGGTTTGTTTTGTGAGATAGTCTTTCATGCTTGAAATCTAGAGTGGCTTGGAACTATTATGTAGCCCAGGCTGGCCTTGATCTTGAGTGCTCACTTGACTTTAGCTTCTCTCTGATAAATAAATGGATGGATGAATGAAAAAATGAGAGCATATTCAGTGCAGTGCCAGCAGGTACAGGAGCTATGGAGGCTACCACAGTGTTTCTTTGGCCAAGTTCCACATTTTGGATTTAGTAGGCCCCAGGCACATGTAGCCAGGCAGGTGAAAGTTTCCCAATGTGTACCAGGTATAAGAAGTCTTCAAGCCAAATCTAGGGCACCTGGATTCTCTGCAGCCTGGACAATAGCCCAGGTCATGACCTCTGCAGAGCACCCTGGTTCCCCCAGCACAGCATCTAGAGAGAACAGCTGCACTAATGTAGTTAGATCCTACCAGACTTTGGCGTGAGAGGTTCACTCTCTTCCTTAAGATCTGGTTCTAATTTTGAAAACAGTCTTTTGTTTACATTTTTTTGTATCAACAACAGTATTACCCTCAGGAAGAACCTCGAGATGGAAGTGAGCTCATTGTGAGGAATCTTGGAAAGACAAACCCGCCAGAGACTCTAGGGCTGGCAAGAAGAGGAGGGCACTTGAGGCTGCACAGCCACGTGGTTCCAATGGCAGGAAAGCCATGTTGTGGATGCCACACTTGCCTCTTAGCTGTCGTGTGATGCTCAGCATCTTTCAGCCTTGGTGTATCTGTAAAATCAGGCCCTAGGCTGAGGATCATTTTCAGGACACAATGAAAAGACATTTATCACGGTGCCTGTAAATCATTGCATCATCACTATCATTTTGTCCTGTACATACTTTTCCATTTTTCTGTCATCAGAGTAGCTGGTGACCGACTCTACCTACTAACTTCATATTTTGTGCATGTGTGTGTATGTGTATGTAAGAGATGTGTGAGGCCTCTGTGTGTATGTTGGCATATTGGCTCTCATTCCCTTAGGCATCCCACCACCTTGGCTTTTGAGACAGGGTCTCTCACTTTTTACCTGAAACTTGCCAAATTGGATAGGCTGGTAATCCAGTAAGTCCCAGGAATTCTCCTGCCTCTCTGTCCACCCTTCAGTGCTTGAATTACAAATTTGTGTCACCATGCTCAGCTTTTTTGTGTGTGGAATCTGGGGTCTACCTCAGGTGCTCATGCTTGCATAACAAATACTTTACCAAATAAGCCATGAGTTGTGGTTTTTATGGTGGTGGTAGTTGGTTTGCTTTTTGATTTCATAAGAATTCTCCCAAGAACTGTATGAGAGAAATTTAGGAGGAGACAATGTCAGCAGAAGATGGAAGCCAAGTGACAAGCACAAGGAAACTGGAGTGTGTCAGCCAGCTTTCTGTCACTATGGCAAATCCCTAAGATACTCAGCTTACAGAGACACAAGGTTTATTTTGGCTCACAGAGTTTGAGGGTCTGGTTTGTTTGGCTGCTCTGTAGCTTTGGGCCCAGGAGCATGTGACAGAGCAAGACCTCAAGACCCTCAGGCAGGTCAGGGGGACCCAGCCCTCCCCATGCTCCTGGCTAGAGGTGGGCATTATTAGGAATCACTGAAAACAGTAAGAAGTCCTAATAAACACACCTCGATATTTTTCCTCTTATATGACAGAGTGGTTTGGCTCCTTGATTAAGAGCTGTCAGACTCCCTGTATCCCCTTCCCCCAGGGTGGCTTCCAGGGGGTGAAAGTCAACTCTCAGATGTGGACACTGGTCAGGAGCCATTGCTGTCCTTCCAAAGTTCCCAAGTCAGGGAGGCTGTGAATGGAGTTGCAGGACCACTCAGTAGCAAAGGTAGCTTCAGCCCCACTATTTCCAGATCCCTGGGCAGCTGTCAACCATATGGCCACTCCTTAGTAATTCTTCAAACTGTCAGTTGGTGGCTTTCAACATTCCTAGCTTCCAGGGGAGAATCTGATCCAGCTACCTATACCTGGAGGAGACTTCAGGCCAGCCACAGACACCTCCAAGAAAGTTGATTGAAATTAGGGGAAGGAATGCAGCTATCATGGCCACTGTCCCTGCATGGCGTTGTGTTGAGAAGCTTCAGTCTTGCTGTCACAGACCAAAAGATCCTTAGATGACCCCACTTGCAACCACTTCACAAAACTCCATGCACAGCTGCTCTGGACTTCATCATAGCATTCTTCAGTATGCTTTGGGAGAAGTCCTTCCCACCCCCGTCATGACAGGGCATACACACTATAAGCTGTATAAATTGCTCCACTTACTCTCTGGGCAGGAGTCTGAGACCTCTCTCCCTCACACTACTCTTATGCTCAGGCCTAGTTCTAATGAGTACTTATATTACCTGCCTGTGGTCTTTCATTATAATGAGACTGGGCTGTGATGGTAGTAGGAGCAGGAAGCTTCTGAGGGTGCCACACTCAGTCCCCTGACTCACTTGTCCATCTCTACCTGGTACATCTCCACCTCATCATCTACCTCAAGTTCTAAAGAAGTGGCCATGTAATTAACACCTCCCCAGGTCTCTGAAAATGGTAGGGCTGAAGCTGCTTTTGCTACCCTCCAACCCTGCAATTTCCTTCACAGCCCCACACTTGGGAACTTTGGAAGGACAACTACAGCTCCTGACAAGACTTTATATCACAGGAAACTTTTGAGTTTCTTCCATGGGAGCTGCTATGGAAAAACAGGTACACAGGGAGTTTGACAGCTGCTAATCAAGGAGCCAAACTGTTCTGTCATATAAAAGAAAAAAAAATCCTGAGGTGTGCTTATTACAAAGACTTAGCAAGACCTTGGTCTTCATGCAGAACCCAATCCCAAGATCAAGATCTTCAGGATGCCCATTGCTCCCTGGTCTGGTGAAAATATGATCCATGAGATCAATACAGACCTATCTTCGGAGGGTTGCAAAGAGATGTGTTTATGCACCATGGAGGATGCTCACTTGTGAAACTTAAGCTACACACATAAACACCCACATAGGTAATTATTTTACCCATATGTTTACATAGAGTTTTGGTTTATTTTGTGCAGCTGTAACAGAGGGATTGAGATGGGGAAAATTTACAGAGATCTATTTTTATTCATAGAGATTTGTTTCTGATAGTTCTGGAGGCTGGGAAGTCCAAAGCTTCAGCTGGGAAGGGCCTTCTCACTACACTGTCTTAGCAGAGGGTAGATGAGAAACTGTGAGGAAACAAGAGGGTGTCCAGGTCCCTTGTCTGACAAATCTTGAAACAGCAGCCATATTTCTTTATAAGACCTTGATCCATCAATGATTTCAGATTCTCTTAAAGACCCCTCCTCTCAACACAGTTGCTGAGGAGATGAAGTTCTAACACAGAAACTGTCAGTGATGCAATAAGCCCTAACAGTGTACAATATTTATTTACAGGTGCTTATTCATGTGCCATAGTCATCTCTGCTTGTAGGTTTGTATTTTTTTGTCCTTGTCTCATGACCAAACTGCAGCAAGGCAGAAGCAGGTTAAGAGGTGGGTGGGTATACACCACTGATAATGAAAGTCCCTGCGTGGGGCTGTGCAGTTTCCAGTGTCTAAGGATTCTTGAGGAACATTTGAATGCATGGTTGAACAGGAAGGAAGGAAGGGTGGGCGGGAGGACAGTGTGCTTGTATTCCTGACTGTTTTCTCCGGCGCTGTGTTTAGATCTGGTAAACAAAAATCTGAGCCTGTCTCTTGCAGCACTGGTTCTTGTATGGGGTCACGTTGTCTCAGCAAAGAAGGAGCGTATTGAATCAGCTACAGTTTGGCTTGATGTGAATAATGTTGCCTGGTTCTGGCATCACCCTACACATCTGGGGAGAATCCAATCTGCTCAAAAGGGCTTTCTTCCCCCAATTGTTTGACCAACAAATACTGCTAATTGTCCCCATTAGGAATGTTTATTTGTAATTGAGACAGGCCTCTGTTTAGGCTAGGGCTTCTCAAGAGGCTGGTTCCAAGACTAGCAGCACCATCTGAGCACTTGTCTGAGACGTAAAGTCCAGGTCACTCTGACCTCTGGAAAGAAATTCTGGGCATGGGCTATGGGTGTGTGTGTAACAGGCATGATTCCAGTGCTCACTGGGGTTTGAGAGTCACTAAATACATTTACTGGTGATAACTTCCTTTAAATAAAAATAAAAGCAGAGCCTAGTGGTTTTGACTTGTCATCCCAGCTACTGAAATAAAGGATGAGACAGACAGATCACAAGTTTAAGGCCATCCTGAGCAACTTAGGAAGGTCTTCATATCAAAGTAAAAAGCAGGAAAGGGGGCTTGAAGTGTGTGTAGCATAGTGGCAGTGTTCTTGCCTAGCATGGGTGAAGTTCTGGGTTTGATCAAGAGTAAAATTCACACAGGAGGAAAGAAAACAAAGACACCCCACTATTTTCTCAAAGGGCTTTGCATGCCCTGGAGCCTGAGTTCTTATGAGTGTGAGCAATTTGTACCTAAATTAAGCTGAACCACTTGGGCACTGCTTGGGCCTATTTCCTACAAATGCTTCTGCTTCTTAACCCGTAGGGATTTCTGCTCCCTGGTAAGTTTGTGGTTGAAATGGCTTTCCACAAGGCACTGAGAACTTCTACACAAGAACCTCTGAGATCCACCTAAACACTGTTTCCTTTCCTTGAACAAGACGTCACACATTACATGCATCAGTACAACTTCTGCCCATCCTGTGGTCACTTCTGCCACACTGGCAGTATAGGAAATATGGATTTCCATGATGGGAGCTCCAGCCCCTATGCTGCTAGGTTGTGTTTACCTAACTCAAGAGAGTTAGGAAAGACCAAGGCAGATGAAGTATGTATCACTGTGCCTGGCACCAGCAGGGTGAAGAGTTTTGGGTTTTATTTTTTGTTGTTGTTCTTTTTATTTTTTTGAAACAATCTTATATATCAATCCCAATTCCGGCTCCCTCCCATCCTCCCATCCCCTCTCCAACCCCTATCCCACCACCCCCCATCCACTCCCCAGGGAGGGAGAGGCCTTCCATGAGGGATCATAAAAATCTGTCAAGTCATTTTGGGGAGGGCCTAGGCCCCATGTATCTAGACTGAGAGAGTAGCCCAGGCAGAGACCTTTTTAAAGTGTTTCCTAGCCCAGTCTCAGCATCCTGTGAGTGTTCCATTCACTGTGGCCCAGCTGCTACCACTGTTGGAATGTGTGGCTCACTGTATCCAGGACGGATGTCTGCATTCTCCTCACATTACCCCACACATCTCCCATCTCAGCCATCTGTTGGTCCTTCCATCATCAGATCTTAGGCCAGATAGTGAGCCATGCTTTCTGATATACAGTAAGCCTTGCTGCTATCATCAGCTCTGTGGCTTCCAAGGTTGTCATCCTGCTCTCCCCTGAGTCACTCTGGCAGCTCTCACAGAAGCTTTCTTCTACACTGTTGGAAAAAGCCTGGGTGCCCTCCATGGCATCACTTTTGTATTTCTTGGTCTATGAATACAGGGACTATGTACTGGTAGAACCAGTAACCCCAGCTTCTGTTTCCTTGTTCCTCTCTACCCTCCATAGGCCATTCAATTCTGGAAGGTTATTATTCAGAATATAAAGCATGGGTCTATTACGATAAATCTTTCTGCCAAAAGCCACCCAGCCCCACCGCCACGTGTACACTTTACACCAGCTGCCTGCCTGAGTTAGGGCCCAAATGAATACACAGAAACTTGTATTAGGTTCAAAGCTGCTTGGCCAATGACTAGGATTCTCATCTGTTAGCTCAGTCTTAATTATCTTAACTCTATATACTTTATAAGACTTATCTTATCAGATGCCTTATAAGGTGTCCTTGCTGGTGGATCACATCGTGCTGCTAGAAAAGAGGGCCCTTCCTGTTTCTCCTTCACTTAAATGAGAGTCTCCTTGCTATGTCACTTCCTGCCTGGATCAGCACTTCTCTACTACATTTCCCAGAATCCTCTTTGACTCCTAGTCTTGCCTAACTTGCCGTTTCATTGGCCAAACAGTATTTTAGTTAGCAATCAATAAGATAACATACACAGAAGTACTTCCCCCATCATGGGTCCACTTAAGGTATTGTCTGCTTTGATTTAGCTGGTCCTGCCTCTCATCTGGACCACCACAATGCCACTCAACTAGTTCACTGGCTCTTCCTTAGTAATAGTCAGCACAGTGTGTCTCTCCTGGAGCTGATCTTACTGAAATACTGAAATGCCTGGGATCACTTGTGGTGATTACCACCTTTCAGGGTGAGAGGTGGAGACCAGAGGTGGAACTGTGTACCTTGCTACACGGCATGCAAGGAGTGTTAGTGTACAGAATGGAGAACAAGATTGTCTGACTCTCTTGAAGCCCTTTCATGCTCCTATGCTGCGAGGACAATATGAGTTATTTTACATAGTCAACATGTCAAGTGGTTCTTCTACTCAAAACCTTGTCTCACAACCCTGTCTCCTGGAAGGGAGACCCATTCTTTGAATAGATGCACAACTCTGGTTTTTCTGCCCTTACTGAGAAGGACTGTAATGGGCTGATGAGTTCCTTATATTGCATGTTAAAATATACACATCACATCCATGACCCAAGTATTATGCCTTGCTTCTTTGGAAGACCTCACAGACCACTGGAAGAGCACCCTCCTTCCATGGGTCACCTGGTCTCAATAGTTTACAACATTGCCTCTATGATGAAATATTTTGATTTTGTTTACTTGATTTGGTTGCCAAGTCCCCTCATAAGGATGGATTGTCTCTGCTGAGTATTAAGGCAGGAATGTACTTTTCCCTCAGGAATCTGGACATGTGTAGCAGGGCTTTAGAGTGGCATGGCAGCTGATCCATCACCATAATGGTGGGCCCTTGCTCATGCTGTCATGGCAGCTGCAGAGGCTTCTGCCATTATTTGTTTGTTTCAAACACAGCAGGAAGAGACGAGAGCCAAATACAATGCAGAGATTATTGGGTTTGTCTTCTATTTAGGAGATCTATAGAAATCTATTGTGAACAAACCATCTGTTTCTGAAGTGGTAAGACAGTGTCCAAAAAAACAACCCATAGCAATCCAGCTTGATGTAATAAATGCAGTCTATTAGGTGATTATTGCTTGCAAGTGGTGGAGGACTACAGATGACTGCATTCACTCCCTGTGACCACAGCACTTCTATCCAGTTCCCATTTCACCTCTGGGAGGATCTAAGACACAGGGCCACTGCTGTCCTTAGAATGGCCTGAGATTATGGTTCCCAGTAATAGCAAAACTGATGCAAACCTAGCCTACAATGAAGGCAGCCATGAAACTGTAGTCTCAGATAGCCAGGCACACACTAAATCAGATTCCTTGTTCTTCTGATGTCTTGGTAAACACTGTTTGGGCCTGGGAAGGTGTATCAGTTAAGGTTCTTTAGAGGAATAGAACTGATAGGGTTAATACACACACACACACACACACACACACACACACACACAAACACACACACACACACACCACACGGAACTTATTGACTTACAGGCTGTGGTCTGGCTAGTTCAACATTGGCTATCTCCTAATAGAAAGTTCAAGAATCCAGGGGCTGGAGAGATGGCTCAGAGGTTAAGAGCACTGGTTGCTCTTCCAGGATACCTGGGTTCAATTCCTAGCACTCACATGACAGCTCACAACTGACTGTAATTCTAGTTCCAGAGAAAATTCAAGAAACTAATAGTTGTTCAGTCTGTGAGACTAGATGTCTCAGCTGGTCTTGTGTATATACTGGAATTCCAAAGAAGGATGTGTGGATCTGTGTATGGAAGTCCATTCCATCTTGCCAGGAGTTCAGAGAGCTCAACTCACTCCTATTGTCTTTAAGATATTAGCTTAACAGCTACAAGATGCCCTGGCCTTGGTGGTGAATGGCTCCTATCTAAATAACAATAGACTTGGGCTCAGGCCAGTTTACACTCATCCTGAAGGCTAGGTGATAAAGAAGCACCTGATGGCCAAGTAGTACGTGCAGCTACAGAGTGTCTTTAGGATTATACATGATAATAGAAGTCTTCTGCCATTGTCCCCACCTTTGGTTGATTACTTAAGAGAATGTTTGAATAAACAGAGGCCTTTAGTATAGACTGAGTTTGCCCTTCTGACACTATCCTATGTCTCCATCTCTCCTTTAACGTCTATAGTTAGCCATTCCCTCATCCACACTCCCACACTCAGGAATGGACCTGAGGCTGCTCAGCTGGTCCTGACCACAGCCCCACAAACACCAGTCCGTGACAGCAGGTAAAAAGCAAAAGAAGTCCTTTCATACAGACTGCCATTAGAACGTGTTGCCCAGATTCAGGGTGGGTCTTCATACCTCAAATGATCCAATCAAGAAAAACCTCTCACAAGTGTGTCCAACTACTTGAGTTTTAGATGATTCCAAGTATAGTCAAGTTGGCACACTATCATGGAAGGACAGTGTGTTTTCCTGCAGTGTTTTCTTTCTGGAAACTAGAACAGTTAAATGGTGGCTTGTTGCAAGATGGAGTTACTTTGGTGTACCAGTCTCCATACACAATCCTACCCCAAACCTCTCCCTGCTCACCTCTGTCCAGATCTGAGTCACAGATCTAAGAAATAAAGTTTGCAGATGCTGCCTGTGAGACTGAAAATCCAGTTTCTGCCGGAAAGAAAAGGGAAAGCTGCCACAAATCTGCCGGCATTTCTGTCTGAATGCAAGCTTTCAGAAGAAAGTCTGAGTTAGTTGTGTTCTGAACTTTTGTCCCTGAGCCCTGTGTCCTGAGTACAGACTTTCAGTAAACCTTTGTTAGGGTCTCATTTTTGGTCCACCTCTGTGGTTTTCCTCATTCAGGATCCAGATCTGGCTTCAATGTCTTCTGTGCACAGGGCAGACGAGGGGCACCAAGTTCCAGTTACTCATATTGCAGTCCTAGCTGGAGACACAGCAATGGCCCCATTTGATCTCTGAGCACTGGAGACTGACCTGGTACTTGCAGATGGTGGGAAAGTGTTTCCCCCAACCTCAGTGGGGATCATCCAGCCCCAGAGAGTTCTGGAGAGAAAGCTTCACAGTCTAGACTTTCCCAGACCTCTCACCAAAGTATGGTTCTGCCCAAGCTTCACAGTATATTAGCATTTTAAAAGATATTTGCATTCATACATGTGGTCTGGGCAGTTGTGTGATTTCCAGTCACACAGTACCACAGATGGGTGAGTTACAAAGAAAAAAGCCTTATTTTGTCCCATGGTACTGGAGGCTCAAGAATGAGGAAACTGGTGATGGTTTCCTGCTGGCAGTTAGGAGAAGCCACAGGGTATCATGTGCTGGGGGGCAGTATATGAGCATGTGTGTGTGTTTGTCTGTCTGTCTATGTCTGTCTGTCCTGGGCTCTCCCTCTTCTTATAAAGCTATCATGAATCAATGACAGCTCTATCCTGGTGACCTTACCAAATCGCAAACACTTCCCACAGGCCCAGTAGTTAAATCCCCATGGTTGGGTTGATTTTTCTCCCTCTTCATATCTCACAGAGGGATTAATTTCAACACAGGAAGACTTGAGAGACCCACACAACTCCATCCAACTCAGCACAAATTGTCATAACCAAGCAACACAGACAGACAGCTCAAACAACACAGATGTTCTGAAGATGTTGGCAGCTTCTGGTCTCCTGAGGCTCCTTCGCTGGCCAGTGCGGGGTATCTTCTCCATGCGTTCTCACACGGTTGTCCCTCTGTGTTTGTCTGTATCCTGATCTCTTTAAACTCCAGTTTCCCGGGGCCTGGATGCCATAATTACCTCATTTTAACATAATCAGATCTATAAACTCCTTCTTCCAAGGACAGTTACACTCTTGGGTCTTGGGTCTGAGATCCCAACTTAGACATTTGGGGACATAGTACAGACCTTAACAATGGACCAGGCTGGAGCTGATGGACTGAGTTCAGTTCAGTGTCTGTAACTGGAGCAAGAGAGG